GCTGTCACACGCAACTTCAGCAGGCCACACCGACGAGAAGAGGACCCTGAAGTGCTGGAACCCCAGACCCAGCACCAAAACAGCTGACAGGTGTCACTCCTTTAAATAAGCCCAGCTCGTCCACAGAACTAGGCTAAAATGCCAGCCTGGAGGCCAGAGTGCAGCTCGGTGGATCACGTGCTTAGCATGCACAGACCCTGGCTCAATCACTAACAGTGCAAAAGGAGGAGAGAGAAGTAAAATCGGCCTCCACGGAGCTAGAAATGGAGTAACTGACAATGCTTTAAATAAAAATAATAAACTAAAGAATCACATTACAATGCCAGTTAATACTGAAGTGACCGGGCCCAGAGAATCCCTCTGCATGACAGCCCGAAGCCTGCAGCACAATTCCCAACACTGCCCAAAGAAGGAGAGCCACACAGGTCACATCTGAGGTTGAACTGAAGAGGTATCAAAAGGAGAATGCTCCCTGATATTAAAAACTGAAGGTGGCAGATGCGAGGCCCGGGGTCCAGTGATAAGCTGCATGGGAAATGGAATTCGGAAAGACAGAACTACAGAGCTAACTCGGCTGAATCCTCAAAGCAGGCCTTCTCCACTAGCCATAGAACCCTGGCCAGTAACTGGGGCTGGAGGGAGGCGCAATGGTTATGAGCACTGGCTGCTCTCCAAGACCTGGGTTTTGTTCTCAGAACCTACGTGGTGCCTCACAACCATCTGTAACTCAGTTCCAGAAGATCCAAGGCCTCCCTCTGGCCTCCAGAGGCACCAAGCACACAGTGGTAGACAGCTATACAATCAAACAAAAATAAATAAACCTAAACACACACACACACACACACACACACACACACACACACACACACACATATGCCCTCTTACCAGTAATCATGTTTTGTGGGCAGTTTTGTTTATTGTTTTTTTCTGGAGGTTCACTCTGCAGGCTAGGCTGTCCTCAGACTTGTGGCTGGGAGTTATGTACTGTATTTAAATGTTTCTTACTAAGACTGCTAACACCCAGCTAACTAGTCTACTAAGACAGTGAACTGAAAATAGGTCAGCTAAAAGCTGCCACTCCAGTGACCATAGCACTAGAGAGCCTCAGACAAGTGGATCAAGAGGTCAAGGACAGGGCTGAAGAGATGGCTCAGAGGTTAAGAGCACTGGCTGTTCTTCCAGAGGTCCTGAGTTCAATTCCCAGCAACCACATGGTGGCTCACAGCCATCTATAATAGGTCTGGTCTGGTCTCTTCTGGTGTGCAGGTGGACATGCAGGCAGAACACTGTATACATAATTTAAAAAAAAAAAAAAAAAAAAAAAAAGAGTTGAAGGCCAGAAGGCTGTCTTGAAGAAAGGAAAGCAGGAAGAAAGGCAGGAAGGGAAGGAGGAAGAGAGAGGAGCTATTATTACAGCTAACAGTAAAGCACACAGTCTTCTCAATGGTCAAGAGTCAAGAAAGCCATCTATTCACACCTAATCACGGAGTGTTTTTACTCTGGCTCATTAAAATAAAATTAATGGTGAATGGCTAACACTAAAAAACGAAAACAAAACCACCTCATTTTTGTTTTATTTCTAATCTCGTCCTACACAGTACATTAAACGAGACTTGGTTTCTAGAAGACACCACTGTCTTTAGCTCCAAGTTCTGTTACGTGCTTATGTGCCTATAACAAACTGTGCACCGCCATGCCTACGACACGGCAAGCAACCACGCAGGGCAGCCGTTAAACTCACCCACTCTTCTACAAAGCCGGGGACAAGGTGCTGGCTCCCACTCTCCTATAAGGCTGGCGACAGGCACTGGGTCTCAGGAACCTAGCCACTGTGTGGTGGTAAGCAACACAGACTGACGAGCTGAATGGCTGTGCATGATCCGTAAGCGATTCTTAATTTTCACTCCCAATGCATGGTGCCTAAGTGTGCCCACAAGGGGCTGGAGAAACCCCTGTGCCTAGAAAAAAGGACACTCAAGTTCCCATTTGTATTTCCTTAAGTTGACTATGTCCCAAACCACAAAATCAATGCTTTGCAACAATGTGGCCTTAAACAATTTTGCTTCATTTCCCTTTACAGGCAATGAATAAAGTTTCTTAAGACTTGGAGACTTGGTTTCCTTCCCTTTGCTCTTTTAAAAAGAAAGACATTTGTAAAACCATACCAATTCTCAAATTTCTAGTCTGGCTCTCAGTCATCCTTGATTCATAGTTAGTAACACAACAGTTCGTTTTTTGTTATTGTTGACTACGTCCTGCAAATTAAGATAAAAAAAGGCTTGAACTTAAAAAACAAGCAAACATATCAAAGTGTATCATGTCCCATTCAGAGATTCCTTTTTTGAAGAGACCGCAGGTCCAGCTCAATAAGCCATACAAAAAATTTCATGTCATTACAGGTCTAACCCTCACCAACATAATACAGTGTCACCAATAAGACTGCCTTCTCTCTTCTTAAGGCTTGTCTAAATGCCCCTCAATTATTTGCACTCAAATGGACTTCATTATTCTCCAACATCAAACTGTCTCAGAGGATGAAAGTAAAGAAAAGGAACACAGGCTTCAAAGTGGATTAAAAAAGAAATTAAAAAACAAACAAACAAAAATCAAACAAAAAATTCAAAAGGTGTTTCAGTCCCTAAAAAGCTGCTAACTGAAAGCACAATTCCACAGAACTTGAGCGAGGTAACACCTGTAAATCTAACTCGAGGTGCTGGAGGTGACATTCGCTCAGTCCCACACACAAAGTCAGTTATCTCTATGGCAGAAACACCGCCTCTCTGGAAAGACGTGCAAGGCTGTCACTGACTAAAGAGAAAACTGGGCTGGAGAACAAACAGGCTTTCAGCTGCGTACCTTTCTAAACCTTATTCACAGGTTTCTGAACTGCTGTGTGCTGTGCACGGGTGCGTGTGTATGTACGTGCGTGCGTGCATTGCTGGGGACGAAATGCAGGGTTTCCCACAGGCAAGGCTAGGGCTGCCACTGAGTTACGTCACGGGTCTGGAAGAACAACTTTCACATTATGAGCTTGTGCTCGGTTCCATTTCACAGAAAAGAACAGCACTGGAGGAAGTGGTGTTGGTCTAATGGCACTTCACTGTAAACCTGGCTCTTCTGCCCGGGCACCACTGTCCACAGGAAACCTTGCAAGTTCATCTTCCCAGAAGCCCTACAGTGAAGCTCTTCTGTTGCACCACTCCCTGAGCATTCAAATGGAAACAAAGCCTGACACAGTAACAATTAGGAGTGGAAAAATGGAGGCACTTAAGGAGCTATTAAGTGTAAGAGAAACAATGATATTATAAACCAATCACAAATATATGGGAGATGTAAATGATTGCCTTTTCCTTTAAAATGTAAACTGCCAGACTGTAAACATGGGAGAGAGATGTCAATGTTACCATCTGCAAAGGAACTGCAGCTTGAACTAGCAAAGCAATATGCTCTGTTGCTGGACACGATTGCACAATCTCAATTACCCAGAAGATTCTACCAAACAGGAAATTCTCGATGTGACTCTAAGTAACACAGGACTCATACTTAAAGATTAACACATCCAGAAGCCTGGAATTTGTTACAAAACAAACCAAACACCATTTCACAGACTCTCTGGGAAAACATGAATGCATAGTACTTACTTTCAGATCAGGAGCCCTAAAATGATACCAAGTCTAAAAGATACTATATGAATCCTTGAAAGTTCCTAAAACATTTTTGGAGTGGAAATTTTATGGTATGGATTGAATTTGAAACCAGTTCCCAGGGCCCTGCACGGGTAGCAAAAGCCTTTACTCTCAACTCTGGCAGACAAGATCTGTGAGTTCCAGGCCAGGCTCTGGTCTGGAGAGTGGTCCAGTCTGGGAGATACATAGCGAGACCCTGCCTCAGACGACGACGACGACGACAACGACCACAACAAAAAAACACCATGTTGTTAACGAAAGCAGCAAGGTATCCTCTCCAGGTTCTCAGGAAACTCACCCGGAACCTCTGACCTTGGCACTTAAAAGCTTATCAAACTCCCTGCAAATCTACAGGACTTAAAAAAAAAGAGACACACTCCCAGGAATTATTTCAATTAAAAACTATTTACACCTCTGACCACTAGTTTTACCTTTTTGATCTCGAGGGGCGCCCAACAGACCAGAATCCCTCTGGCTCCGCGGGGAGAAACTGTTCTGTCAAACAATACTGAAATGAGCAGCGGTATGTGCCCAAGCGACGAGCTGGGGCGTCCTTGCAGGCGCTGCCCCCCTCCCTCCCCGGAAAGGAAATACGCTTTCAAACGAATCGGAAACACACCACGCAAGCTGGCACCGAGCACCCCGAGAGAAAGTCGGTATTTTAAGCTCTTCGGGGCGCTGCTAATTCAAGTGCGAATTCCAAAAGAGTGTTTCTGAAACCAGGATTTTTTTTTTTTTTTTTTTTTTTTTTACGATGGAGGCTTGCAAAAATGGAAGGGGTTAAAAAAAAAAAAAAGAAAGAAAGAAAAAAAGGAAAGAAAATTCCGGGAAGGGAGCGCTTTTTCTTGCAAGCTTCCTTCAGGTGACCGCAGCCCCCGAGTCAGGCTCTGCCCTCCTGCTCCTCGCAGGAGCTCCGCCCAGCTCGCCTGCTCCCCAGGGCAGGGCTCCTGCGACCTGAGCGGCGGCACCCGGGGCCAGGGTCCATCGGCTGCACGGCTGCAGGGGGACCCGGGAGAGCCGATCTTCCAAGCAGGGAGAGCGCGCAGGGTGGAGCACCGTCGCACCGAGGCCGCGGCTGACCCGCTCCTGCACTCGCTTCACCACCCACCCGCGTGTGCAGAGAGTGAGGGGTGCAGGACTCGCACTGCTCCAACTCCCACCCCCCCGCCACGCACCCCCACACGCACCCGGAGGAGAATTCCTGCCGCTGGGCGCATCGCTGAGCTGTGGGGACGGGCCTGGTCCTCGAGCCTGCAAGGGCCAACCCTGCCTGCTCCACCGCGTCCCCCACCCGAGGCCCCGGCGACAACTCACCACACCGAGCCGTAGGCGCCCGACCCCACCGGGGACAGGTTCTGGTAGCGCTCGGGCACCTCCCAGATGGTCTTGTTCAGCTCCTGCCGGTAGAACGTGGGCCTCTCCTGAGACATCTTCCAGCGGCGGCCGCGGGGCGAGGAGGTGGCCGAGCTGGGGAGGGGGCCCCTGCCTGCAGCCGCCCGCTGTCCGCGGCGCCCGCCGCCCGCGCAGGTGTGGAGGCTGCGAGCCCAGGCGCGCGGCCCCCGTCGGCCGCGGCGGCTCCCACGACTGCGCGGCTCGAGGCTGCTCCCGCCGCCGCGCCCCTGCAGCCGCTCTCCCCGGGCCGACGCCGCACCACTCCCGCTCGCGCTCCAGCGCCCGCTCGGGCTCCTGTGGCCGCGGTCCCGCAGGCAGCGGCCGGGAGCCTCCCGCGGAACTCTCGCGAGAACAGCTCCCGGAGGCAACGCTCCGCGAGCCGAGATCTTACCCAATATGGAACCTGTCCGTGGGGCGGGGGCCGCGGCGGAGGCGGGGGGGGGGGGGGAGGAGTTCTCGCGAGAAGACAGGCACAGCTTGCGGGGCCGAGGCCGGAACTCTCGGGCACTGGTCTCCCGGGCGCGGGGGAGGAGGCGGCTGCAGCGCACGCCGCGCGCGCCTCTTTGTGGTCGGACGGGCGAATGCCTGGCGCCATGGCGGAAAGCCGCTGTGACAGCGTCCGGGAAGAAAGCCAAAAGATCTTTGAACTCCGAGCCACCTGCTCACTGGAGCCGGCAATTTCCAAGAAACACTTGCAAGAACAGACAGGCCCTGTCCAGAAAGCTGTTGCATTTCCCCATCCGCTCAAGGACACAGGGCTTACTCGCCGGGCTGCTGAGGAAACCTGCCCCGTGAGGCAAACATGAACCCTGCCTCCAAGCCGAGGCTTTCCCTCCCGGCGGCCCTAGCAGCTATTCAATTTTCTCAAGCAGAAGACCACCCTGGGAGTATCAGAAGGAGATTCCAGGGACCCACAGGCAGTCCGATGGACAAGGTCGGAAGTAGACTTCGTGAATGTGCACTTCCAGGCTGGGGACCTGCTTGGCATTTGCAGGGCCCTGGGTTCGGTAGCCAGTACTGGAAGGGAAATACACATAATAATGCACACACATACATACAAAATGCAGGTAGGTTACTCCTTTTCGGGGAAGTCTTCTCATATATTATCGTATTACAGTGGATATATTTATTTGTATAGCCTGTAATTCCAGCACTTGGAAAGACCAGGAGTTCAAGACCAGCCTCTGCTATGTAGTTAGTAGTTAGGAAGCCAGCTTGGGCTGTTAGGAGAGCGCATCCAGGACACCCCAAAACCCATTATTCGGGTTTGAGACTGACTCCGACCCTTGAGAGCTATCCAGAATTTAGAAATTTAGAGGAAATTTTGGAGCATTGAAAGAGTTAAAATAGAGAAAATTTTACAGATTTCATTTATGCCTCTGGGAGTATGGGGGAAACAAGGTGACATTCTGGCAGCCTCGTATTTAGGCAAGTCCGCTGGCCTCTATTAGGCCCTGGTTCTAGCTTCTACAAGAGAAAAGTCCACCTAGAGGAAGAAAGATAGTAAATGTGAATGGGGGAAAGTTCAACCCTTACCTACCTGCATCAGCCCGTCCCTACGATTGTCAGCACTGAGCAGGGAAAAGGGACCTCTTATTCTCGTGACTATTTCTACAAGATCGAGAGGGTTCCCGCAGCCCCGGTATGTGGAAGGCAGCCAGGCATCCCTTCTCGCCCCGAAGCCATCCCCGCCTTCCTGGCCTGTCACCCGCACAGCTGGAACGCCGGCGGGTTCTGCAGCAACGGCAGCTCCGGAACTGCCGGCCTCCGCGTCCGCAGCGCCGCCGCCAGCCAGGCTGGAGCCAAGTCTGACCCCAGCGTCTGACCCCAGGTGAGCCTTGGTGGGGAGCGCACTGGCTGCCGCCCCGGTGCCAAGAGCCGGCTCGCAGGGCGTGGTTGCTTGGGTCACCTGCAGGGCCAGGAAGCTCCCAGGCACTCTTTTAATTATTTGCGAAACGAGCTGGTGAATGAATGAATGAATGGCGGTGGTCCCCGGAACTTCTCTCTCCTACAGAAAGGCAGCAATGACAAGAGACAAGGTGGGATTTGCAGACTGGATCCTTTCAAAAGTCGCTCCCCTGTGCTGCCTGTGCTGGGGAGACAAGTCTGTGGGCCTCGCAGCGCTTACACCCCACTTGTGTCCTCATCAGACCTCAGCACAGGGCTCCTTTTGCTTTCAAACCTCACAGTCTTGTTCACTTTGTTCTCTCTGGCTGAACCCAGCACCCCACCCCCTCTCCTCCACGTGTGTTTTACGGTCAAATCCCTATTTATGGATTATGCTGGGTCCTCCCACGGAGTCTTCTCTGGTCAGGCCAGTAATGAGCATCTCTCCAACACAACCCCTTGCAGCACACTGTATGGCCTTAAGGGAAGGTGTCCGTGTTTATGTGACCCGTGGTCACCTTCAAGGATCGCCTGCAACCAGAAGACAGTTCTCTTTGCTGACACTTAGGGGCACTCCCATACTTTCCCTATCAAAACCGAGGCACAAGCAGTGAGCAGTTTGGGTTGGGAATTACAAGTGCTTTTTTTTTTTTTTTTAATTTTGGAAGTTAATTTACCTTATGAGTGTAGGAAACATATGAACGATGACGACATCAGGTAATAGATACTCTTGCCCCTTAACTAATTTTCATGGTTTCATGTTCATTGGGTCAAAAATTTATAAATCAGGGTGTTTTTTTTTTTTTTTTTTTTTTTTTTTTAAAAATTTTATAAATAAGTTTTTTTTTTTTTTTTTTTTTTTTTGCTTTTAAAATATTCCAAATAGATATTCTTTAAATAAGTCAGTGATTGGATGAATGGATGAAAAAATGATGGATGGCTAGATGGCTAGAGAGCAGTGGAAGAGGTTGGTTAAAGTGCTTGTGTCTTAACAGTGTTGTAAGTTGGGCAGTGAAAGCCTGATTAAATGTGATTAGAGGCTGGAGGTGCAGCTCAGGGTAGAGCAGCCTCCCATCCTCCCACAGGTGAGGCCCCAGCTGGCTTCCCAGCACAGGAAGAAGAAAGAATTGAGGCCTGTATCATGGCATCCCCCCCTTAATCCAACCTTGGATACGTGGGGCAGGAGGACGGGAAGTTCAAAGCCAGCTACATTGCATGAAATCCTGTCCCAAAAACAAAAATAAAACACGACAAAAAAATTACCTCAGCTGCTTCTCTGTCAGGGTCACCCAGTTCTGTTACTGCTTCTATCTTTCCGTTTTTAGACAGGGTCTTGCTGTGGCTGCCCTGGAACTCACTCTGTAGATCAGGCTGGCCTGGAACTCCCAGAGATCCCCTTGCCTCTGTCTCTAGAGTGCTGGATCAGAGGTGTGGGCCACTACACCTAGCTCACCCAGCTTCTAAACACCCTTTTGTGCTGCCCCAGAGTTTCGGATTCAGGAAATGGTTTTTATTTGGTTTGTGGTTTGTTTGTTTATTTTGAAGTAAAATCTCATACAGCCCAGACTGACCACAAGCTTGCTATGTAACAGAGGCTAGTCTTGAACCCCTGGTCCTTCTGCTCCTGTGTCCCAAGTGCAGAGATTAAAGCCATGCTACCACACCCAGCTCCCTCTAGGAACAGTGTTGGGTGTTTTAAAAGTTTGTTTATTTCGTGTGTGCTCACAGATGAAGGCCACACTGGGGTGTGCAGGTCAGAGGACAACATGCGGGATCAGTTATCTCCCTTTATCTCATGGGCCCCAGGGATCACACTCAGCAGGTCAGGCTTGGTGGTGGGTAGCTTAACCTGCAGAGCCGTTTCACCAATCCTCCTCCAGAAGCACTTTTAACCCCTCACCCCAGGTTAATGCTGACATGATTCAGATACTTCGAATTATTTCCCTTATATCCTCTCTAGTTGTGTCCAACACTGTCTCTGAAATCGCTGTTCTCCCCCACCACTTGAACTGGGTCTCACCTCAGTTTCTCACGGAATTCTTTTCCACTCTCCGGGCTGGGATCCTCAGTGTCCCTCTAGGTCATGTAGTTGTAAGACATGAATCTGTTTCACAAATGGGGAGACAGGTCCTGAATTTGAGCCGTCACTGAATCATTGTGGTGTACTGAGGAGCTCCTTACTCATGTCAGAGAAGACCATTCTGATGGTCACCAGGAGGATATGGGCATCTCCCCATGCATAGCCTGGCATGGGTGTTCCTTCCCATCTCTGAACTCTTCTATTTTGGCTAAATCCAGCTGGGTCTGCAGCGCTGGGATTACAGTCCAGGCCACCAGACTTGGCCTCTTTTGGCCATTTGGAAAATGAGAATAACATGTCCTTTGAATAACAAGTCCGAGAATGGTCTTGAGGGTAAAATTGTATAACACAGAGAAAGGGTCTTGTAAAACTGCTATGTAAATGTAGCATCATTATATGTGACTAATGTTCAAAATAGACTGAAGGGCAGGCACAGTGTCATACACCTACGGTTTCCAGGGCTCAAAGGGCTGCATCAAGGAGACGGTTGCAAACTCACCATTCAAAACCAGACTGAGCAACAGAAAGTGTCTATACTGGGCTGGAGAGATGGCTCAGAGGTTAAGAGCACTGGGCTGTTCTTCCAAAGGTCCTGAGTTCAATTCAAATCCTTGGGTACATGAGTTTGAGGCCAACCTGGACTACAAGAGACCCTCCTCAAAAAAGGCAAGGGTGCTGGAGAGATAGCTCAGCTGATAAAGGTGTGTACTGCTCCTGCAAAGCACCTGAGAGAGTTTGCTTCCCAGTAACCTTATTTTTTGTTACATTGATTTATTTGGTGTTGAGGTGCCATGTGTTGCTGCATATTGTGTGTAAAGTCAGAGGACAACCTGCAGGAGTCCTCTGAGACAGTGTGTCATCAGGCTTGCCACAGGTACCCTTCACCACCGAGCCATCCTGCCAGCCCTCATGCATGTTTGTTTGCTTTCTTTGTTTTGTTTTGGTTTGGTTTGGGTTTGGGTTTGGTTGAGACATGGTTTCTCTGTGTAGACCAGGCTGGCCACCAACTCAGAGATCCTCCTGCCTCTGCCCTGAGTGCTGGCTTACAGGCATGCCTGCCGCTGCCCAGCAATATCTGTTTTTGTCTAATGTCTTTCCAGCTTATCCAGGAACAATGCAAACAGAGAGGAGCATCCAGAGTTTGGGCAGCAGGTACAGGCAAATCCCCTTTGCGTATGATGTCAAGCGACACGTGTACAATGAGGAGAATTTCCAGCAGGAACACAAGAGGAAGGCCCCCTCTACCGGAAACTTGGACGTCAACATCACCACTTTCAAGCACCATGTCCAGTGTCGGTGCGTGTACCCAGCCTCGCAGTGGCCACCGAGCCAGGCAGGAGAGAGAGCTAACGACTCCTGCTGCCCACCTGTACCCTTCTGCCTTCCTTCTCTGAATTCCTTCTGTCCAGACCCTGCCATTTATGGCGTGACTTGTTGTTGTTGGCTGTGTGTCTCTCTGTGTATGTCTTTTGTGTCTCTGTCTGTGTTTGTATCTCTGTCTATATGTCTGTATGTGTGTCTGTGCTTGTCTTACAGCGTCCTCTGACAACAGATTTCCTGGGCATGGTCTGTTAGCCTTTCCTTCTGGCATGTCACTATAACAAGAGACTCAGGGCTGAGGAACTTCTCAATAACCAAGCTCGTTAGGCTCATGGTTCCAATAGCCAGTGTGTACAAATAGTGTGGGTGCTGGCGTCACGGTGAGGATGCCCTGCCGTGTCACAACATGCCTGAGAAGTGCCTCGCTCTCTAAAACCCTCTCTCACCAAGTCATAGTGGCACACGCCTTTAATCCCAGCACTGTGGAGGCAGAAGCAGAGGCAGGTGGATCTCTGTGAGTTCAAGGCCAGCCTGGTCTACAGTGACTTCCAGGACAGTCAAGGCTCCACTGGGACAGCGAAACCCTGTCTCAGTAAATAAATAAATAATAACCCTGTATAAATAAATAGATAAATAAATAAATAAGTGCCTGCCCTCCTGGTGCTAATTCAGCCCCACAAGAGCTAGATCCAGGCCTGTGGGAGGGGCTCCCACGCCAAGGGCACGATAGTTACTAATAGTCATAAAGACCTCGTGTCCCCACAGTATTTGGGGATGATACCTAAAATGCACGTTGTTCAGCAGCCGAAACGGCTCAGTGGGTAAAAGAGCTTGCTGTAAAGCCTGAGGACCCAAGTTTCATCCCTGGGACCCGCATGGTGGAAGGAGAGAACTGACCCTAAGAAGCGATCGCCCCTTCCTCTCCACGCCAGACAGCTGTCATGAAACACCAACTGCTGTTGGTTAGAAGTTCTGGTAGACGAAGCAGTGGCAACAGAGATCCTTCTGCTGTCCACATCTCGGCCACCAACAGAGATGACGTTCCAGCCCTAACTCCCACCCTGACTAGCAAGGCGCTCTGTGCGTAAACCTCCTAAAAGCGACAGAGTGAAGGGACCTCTTTTCAGAATTATATCTTTAATCCTTTTTTGTTTGTTTGTTTGTGATGGGGTCTCATATAGCCAGTACTGGCCTCATGCTGACTATGTACATGCTCAGTCTAGGCTTAAAGTCCTAGTCCTCCAGCCTCCACCTCCCAAGTACTAAGTGTACAGGTGTACTCTGCCACTCCTAGCTCGGTACTGGGGATTGAACCCACAGCTTGACGTATGCTAGGCAAGCGCTCTTGTCACTTAGCTGTGTCCCTGTGCTGGGTGTTGTTGTTGTTGTTGTTGTTGTTTTTATTGTAGTAAAGTATGTATGTTATCAAGCTGGCTGTTTTGACCATTTCTAAGTGTGGGTTTTCATGGCGTAATTGCTATTATGCAACTACTACCACAGTTGGTTTGCAAAACTTTTTTATCACCTCAAACAGAAACTCTAGTCATTAAGCAATGGCCCCCACCTCTCACCCTACCCCTGCTTCTATCTCTGTGAGTCTGCCTCTTCTGGACTGAGCTATGAACCTGGCCTGATTCAAGCAGGACCACGCAACGTTTGTCTTTCTGTGTCTGGCTTGTTTCATTTAACACCATACTTTCAAAGCTCATCCTCCTTGTAACAAATGTCAGCACACTTCCTTTTTTCTGTGGCTGAGTAATAATCAAAAGCGTTTATGTAAACTTTGTCTATTCATCCATTTGTTAACGAACACTCAGGTTGTTTCCATCTTTTGGCCCCCGAGAATAATGTTGCTGTGAACACTGGCCAGATCTGTTTCAATCCCTGTTTTTAGTTCTCCCAGGACCCTGCCTAAGGGTAGAATTCCCAGGATGTGTGTCAGTTCTATGGACAGCTGTGAGTGTGTAGGTGTCTGTGTGGGTGTGCACGTTCATGTGCACAAACATGCAGAGGCCGGAGACCGATGTCAGGCTTCTTCCTCTGTCACACCCCACCTTATGTTTTGAGGCAGGGTCTCTTGCTGAATCTGAATCTGATGCTCTTGAATGAGTGAAGCTGCAAAACCCTTGGGTCTCCACCTCCCCAGCTGCGGACTCAAGGCTGCATTGTGTGGCTCTGGCTCCCCACACGCTGAGGATCTGACTGCTGTCCTCATGTTTTGTGCAGCAGGTGCTCTGCCAGGTGAGCTGGCACCCTGCCCTCAGTGTTTCTTCTTGTTTTCTTTCTTTGAGATAGAGTCCTACTATTCGTCCCGGCAAGCCTTAAACTCACCATCCTCCTGCCTCAGCCTCCTAAATACGGTCATTACAGGCACACTTTACATCACTAAGTTGTTTGGTTTTTTGTTTGTTTTTGTTTTTGTTTTTCCCAGTCAGGGTTTTTCTGTGTGGCTCTGTCTGCCCAGGAACTCACAATGTAGATCAGTCGGGCCTCCAACTCACAGAGATCCACCTGCCTCTGTTTCTCAAGTGCTTAAAGGCATGTGCCATCACCACCTAGGTATTTTTCATCTTTTGAATCATCGCCATCTTAGCAGGTCTGAAGGAGTATCTTATTGTGTTGTTTTGTTTTTGTCCTGTATTTTCTTGTGACTAAAGATACAAGCAAGTTTTCCTTGTTTTTATTAGCTACTCTTATATCTTTAGGAAAAGATGTCTTCATTTCTTTTACTCTTTCCAACATCAGGTCATTTTTCTCTACTGTTGAGTTGTGATTTCTTTGATTATTCAGGATGTTCATTTCTTATCTGAAACATGCTTTATAAATATTTTAACTTTTAAGCTTTCATTCTCCTCTATTTATTTTTATTGTTTTTAACTATGTGTAAGTGTGTCTGTATGTATGAGTGCAGGTACCTGTGGAGGTCAGAAGTATAAGATCCCCAGAGCTACAATTGCAGACAACTGTGAGCTCTCATGTGGGTGCTGGGAACCAAACTCTGAACCTCAGGAAGAGCAGCCAGTGCTCTTAACTGATGAGCCATGTCCCATATCCTGCTGAGTCTTTACTTTGATAAAAATTCAGTTTATGCTTCATACTGAGAATTTTATAGTTTAGCTCTTTATTTTCTTATTTTCTCTCTCTGTCTGCTTGAGGTTGAACTTGGAGCCTCATACTCACAAGGTGAGTGATGTACCACTGAGCTACATCTAACTCTCTCTCTTTTTTTTTTTTTTTTTTTTTTTTTATTTTGAAACAGGATCTTGGTAAGTTGCCCAGGCTGGTCTTGAACTCACTCTGTAGACTAGGCTGGCTTTGAACTTGTGATCTTCCTGCCTCAGATCCCAAGTGGCTTGGATTAACAGGCCTGAGCCACTGGGCCTATTAGTTTTCACTCTTAAATTTAAGTCTTTGATCTATTTTTAATTTAAATGTAGTACCTTGTGTTAAGGCTCAACTGTGTTCTTTAATATATGAATACTCCACTTTAGCCACATGGTCTGTTAAAGAGAACTGATACCTCCCTATTAAAGGTTTCAGCAAGAATAGTATTTATTTGTTTGTTTGTTTGTTTAGGTTTTTCAAGACAAGCTCTCTCTGTGTAGCTCTGGCTGTCCTGGAACTCACTCTGTAGACCAGGCTGGCTTCGAATTCAGAGATCCTTCTGCCTCTGCTTCCTGAGTTATGAGACATAAGTCATGTGCTGTCATGCTTAGCTTTATTTTTAATTGTATGGGTACGTGCATGAGAGTCCAGGTGCCTACAGAGGCCAGAGGTATGAGATTCGCTGGAGCTGTAATTACAGGTGGTTGCGAGCTACTGCTGTAGATGCCGGGAGCTGAACTCAGGTTCTCTGTAAGAGCAGCACAAACTCTTTACTGCTTAAGTCGTCTCCCTGCCCAATAATTTCAAACTACATAAACAGATAAAATTATAAGTAGAAACAGTTATATTACCATCTAATGATGGATAGGTAGTGGTGCACGCTTTTAATCCCGTCACTGGAGAGGCGGAGGCAGGTGGATCTCTGAGTTAGAGGCCAGCCTGCTCTACAGAGGGAGTTTCAGCACAGCCAGGGCTCCACAGAGAAACCCTGTCTCAACCCACGACCCCAACACACGTGCGCGCGCGCGCACACACACACACACACACACACACGCATACACGCACACAGGTCTAGTTTCAAGAAAGTAATGAATGTAAATAATATTTCGAGATATCTATAGCAGTAGTACCATTCTGGTTACAGTGTCCAGTTCTGGCTTCTACTTCAGTTTATAATTAATATTCCTAATTGAAGGAGCCAGTCGTGGTGGCACATGCCTGTAACACCATGGAGGCTGAAGCAGAAGGATTGTCCTGAGTCTGGGGTCTCACTAAACCACGCACAATGCCAGGTAGGTACAGAGCTAGATATTGTAGAACAAGCAAACAAAAAAGCGTACCTGATGGAAATCTGAGACTTTGGCCCGAAGTCAGTGTGAAAAGGTGCCCTAACTCTTTGCCCCTAAATTCATTCACCTCAAACTCTGCCTTAGACCTCCAGAGTCCATTAACCCAAGATTAGGAATCCTGTGTAACGTACCTCATGATGGTAACTCTTATCACTTCAGTTGTCCTCCCCCATATCCGGCCTTATCTGCCCTCCTACCCCCACTCTCTGCCACCATCTGGCCTGCAGCTGCTGATAGCCAGGCCCTGACACCACCGCTTCAGATGTTCACTCCCTTCATTAGACCCTGCCCGTGCAGGCTGCAGTCGGGTGACTACGTCTGCCTCGGGTAGCAAAAGGGACTTTCTCACCAGAGCAGGTACAAGGCCATGGGTTCCATCTCCAGAATCACATGCAAGCAGACAAAAGACAACATGATTGTCTTTCATAACTTTAGCCTTGTAAACAATTCTTACTGGGATTATATCAACCTCTGGCCTCTGCCTGCTCCATCGCTCCATGTAGACACTTAAATCGGACAGATTCTGATTCCTGTGGACATTGTTTTATTGACTTTTTTGTATCTAAGGTCTGAGGGTGGTGGCATAGGCCCTTATTCCTAGCCCTGAGGAGGCAACGGCAGTGGATCTCTGTAAGTTCAAGGCCAACCTTTCTTTATGTATCGGTGTCTGTGTGCCTGTATGCCATACTTGGAGAGGTGCCCGTGAGGGAGAAGATCCTGAGAAGGGTACTGGGAACTTGACCCTGGCCCTCCGCAAGAGTGCTACGTGCTCGTCATCCCTGAGCGTCTTTCCAGCCCCTCTGTGGGGTTTATGGATGATCTGACGCTAAGCTCCTCTTCTCTTCATATTCCCCCTGCTAAAGCACAGGCCAGCCTTTTCTGAATCAGAAGTCAGGCCAGCAGGGTAGTGACCATGTCTTTCTGATCCCAGGGTGCTTGCTCTAGAAGCCGATCTCTGCGCTTTTCCAGCCGTGTGACTGGAGATGCCTCACCTATCCCTCCTGCGCCTGTCTCTCCCCTGGGCAGTGGGAGTAATGATGGAACCTGCCTCAGATCTAATTAGGAGGATTTAAAGGATTATTTTTTTAATGTCTAGGAAATAGTAAACACTAGATTAGTTTCTGGTTTGAGGAACATTTTTGGTAAATAAAATAATCTTTTAACTCCATCTCTTCCTTTCTGCAGAAAAACATCTTATCTCTCTCCTCGTTTTCCTCCCCTTGATTAGCAACTACCCATATCCTCTTTTATGTCACATGCCCTGAGCTTTATTACCAACTCCTGTGTCCCTCACCCCTTAGTGTGTTTGAGACATGGTCTCCTGTAGTTCAGCCTATCCTTAGATTTAATATGTAGCCAAAGATGACCTTGAACAACCAATCTTCTGATTCTCTCTCTCCCAAGTGCTGGGGATATAGATGCATGACAACATGCTTCACACATTCCTGAGTGTGTGTGTGTGTGTGTGTGTGTGTGTGTGTGTGTGTGTGTGTGTAAAGTCAGAGAACAACCTTGGTGTAGGCCTTTACCTTCCACTTTATTAGAGATATTGTCTTGTTGTTTTCCATTGCATATGCCAGGTGTGCTGGCTGGTCAGCCTCTGAGGAGCCTGCCTACACTCCGCATGTCCCTGAGGTCATGAAGATTGCCAGCTCTTACACTATGGACCTGGCTTTTACAGTGGTCCTGGGAATTCAGACTCAGGTCCTCATACTGAGCCATGCCCGTAGCCCACATTTCTCGCTTAAGATACCTTCATCAAATCAGAATTTCTCTCTAAATGCCTTCCCATTTCTCCCATCAGCTCCAGTTTCCTGTTGCTCTGACTCCCTTCTTGTGCAACTCAGACCCCCAACATTCTATGTCCACTTTGATTTTTCCCGATGCCAAAGACCATCAATGACCCTGCACAGGGTTAGTGGTCCCCAGCAAATAGTCAAGGAGGGGACACAGCATCAGGTGAGGGGACAGATTGTCCCAGTGCCATGCTCTGGGCTTGAGGCAGGAATATCAAGACTTGTTCTGTAATTATGATTGTATGCCTACCTCAAAGCCAGCAACTCACATGAAAATAGCAGCTCAGCATTCCTTCCAAACCAGTGGCCTCGATACTTGACCTCTGAGCAGAAGGGAACATCTGTCAGCAGGAGGTCAGAACACTGAGCTAGGTATCAGAAGACTTGGCTTCCTGCCTTGGCTCCACTCGTGTGTGTGTGTGTGTGTGTGTGTGTGTGTGTGTGTGTGTGTGAGTGACCTTGGAGAAATCACTCGTACTTACATGGCCTTGTGTGTCTTAGAGATGCTTATGGTCAGACAGAATACATGGGATCAGGGCTGAACAGGTGCCTCAGTGGTTAAGAGCACTAGCTGCTTTTGCTGAGGGCCCAGGTTCAATTCCCAGCACCCACATGGTGGTTCATTACCATCCCTAACTCCAGTTCTAGGGTATCCGAAGCTATCTTCTGACATCCTTGGCCACTGTGTGTACATGGTACACATACACACACACATACAGGCAAAAAAACCTCACACACATAAAGTAGATCTAAAAAAAGTTTAAATACATGAAGTGACTGTTTTTGAGCACATGCTTTAGAGGTGCACATGCTAAAGTTATAGTTGTTGTTATAATTAAATCTGCCATCTAACGCAACATGTCTGTGAAAACAGTCTTCCGTCTGCTGCCAGTCCATGTCAAACTGCGATTGGCAAAAGGCAATTTAAAATCAAGCTGGTTTCACTCATCAGTAGATTGTAGTCTCCCACTGGATTAGTGGTTCTCAATCCATAGCTGCTTTGGGGTTGAATGACCCCTTCACAGGGCTCACCTAAGACCATCGGGAAACATACTTACTTTACAGTTCCTAACAGCAGCAAAATTACAGTTATGAAGTAGCAACGAAATAATCTTATGTTTGGGGTCACCACCCCGTGAGGAACCGTATTAAAGGGCCGCAGCACTGGGAAGGTTGAGACGCTGGCCTAGATGACCTCCGGGTTACTACCTCTCAGCAATACTGACATAGGGTGTTGTTTTGCTGTCCAGGCTGCTTCATGGCTCAAGTGATCGATCCTCCTGCTTCAGCATCAGTAGCCGGGCCCATAGGCCTGTGTCACCGTGCTCAGCCTTTCATACTAACATTTTTGAGTATAAGTTTGTTTCTGTTTTGGTGGTGGTGCTGCTGGGTTTTGTTGGTTTGTTGGTTGCTTGCTTGGTGTTTTGACACAGGCTCTCACTCTGTGGCCCTTTGTAGACCAGGCTGGCCTCGAACTCACAGGGATCACCTGCCTCTGCCTCCCCGGTGCTGGGATTACAGGCGTGCGCCACCACCGCCAGCCAGCTCTTAAGGTAGGTTACGTTGTCCAGGTTAGCAACAGAGTCGCTGTGTGTCCAGTGACCTTGAGCTCGTGCTCCTGCCCCCTTCCCCCGAGTGCTGAGACTGTAGGTGCACAGCGCACACAACACCTGCAGTACGCACGTGGTGCTGGAGACTCAGCAAGGCCTCCTGCGCGCCAGGCAAGCACTCCAGCTGAGCCACGTGCCCAGCCCCCCACTCCCAAACTTCCCTCTGCTGAGAACTGTTCTCTCACTTGTAGACTGCTGAGCTGTATTCCTGGCCTCTGCCACTGGGTGCCAGTCATGAGGACCAAAAGTATCTCCAAACACAGCCCAGGTGCCTCATGGGAAACAGAACTGTGCCCAGTAAAGACCCACAGCCTTTAAAATCTGCAATCTTTTCTCTGTACAGCTAACTCTTCAAGTGCAAAACTCCACTTCTGTAACTGTCTGGACAGCCCGGGTAAATGCGGTGTTTGGGTAGATAAGCGTGTGAGAAAGGGGTGGGATGTTAGCTGCAGCATGACGGCTCCGAGGGCAAAGACACCTGCTACCAAACAGAGCGCTTGCCTAGCTTGCCGTGTGTGAACCCCTGAGAGGACCGACTCCTGAAAGTGGCCATCCGACCTCCTCCGTGTATGCCCACATACACACAAGCATACACACTCACGTACACGAGTAAGTAAATACACAAACTAAGGTGTTCGCCCTCCAGCAACAAAAACGTCTGTGTTTAATGTGTAGGGGCCGTCGCTGCAGCGTGGGTGCAGTGACGGCAGAGGCCGGAAGAATGGAACACCCTGGGGCTGGAGTTACAGATGGTTGTGAGCTACCGTGTGGGTGCTGGGAACGGAACTCAGATCCTCTGGAAGAACAGCAAGTGCCCTGATCCCGGGAGCCAACTCCGCAGCCCCCCAAACACTGTTCTTGTGAAGAGACAGGGAACCAACTAGTTCATTCTCTGCTAGAAGTTAGTAAGTGTGACTCTCTCACAACAGCCAATAAAAACACAGAACTAACTGCACACTGGACATGTGAGTCTCGGTTCTCGCCAGACACACCTTGCTGGTTCTTGCTGGTGGTTTTGTTCCCTAGGGTATTTCTCAAGGTCTAGAGGTATTCCTGGTCCTCTAACCCGGGGGGAGGATAGACTACCAGCCTCTAGTGGGTAGAAGCCAGGGATGTTAAACACCCTGAAATGTATAGGATTATCAGTCCTACAGCAAGAACATTTTGGTCCAACTTGTTAAAAAGTCGCTTGTGCTGTTAGGGGCCGAGGGTGGCACCCGTGCCTTTCGTTGGCCAGGGAAATCTCTCTAGTGAACCTAATTGCGTCTCTGTTCTTTTTTCTCCCAGATGCTCATGGCACAAATTCCTACGATGCATGCTTACAGTCTTTCCCTTCCTGGAGTGGATGTGTTTGTATCGATTCAAGGACTGGCTTCTTGGAGACTTACTTGCTGGATTAAGTGTTGGTCTTATTCAGGTTCCCCAAGGTAAGGGCAGATCCCAAGCAGCTCACCCAAAGCTGATCTGGACCTCAGCCACTTGCAGGAGCAAGCACTTCTGCCAGATGAGCAGAAGGGGACAGAGGAGAGGCATTCTCGCTGCCACCAGTTCTTCACGTCCAGGTTTCTAAGCCTCCAGGTGGTTCCAGTGAGATCCATGAACACTTCCCATGGAACCTGCAAGCCCCACTCCTGGTCATATCTTTGACTTCCACGCCCCACCAGTGGTTTCACCACTTATAGTGGAGCTCAGGAGGCATTAGTTTTCCTTAGGAAACACAGGAGCTCAGCTGGGGAACAGAGACAGCAGGTGACACAGCCACAGCTGTCATCCAGTTACCAGTTCAGATGCAAGACCACAAGGTCACACAGGAGTGGGTACTCACTGGGTTGGAGAAAGCTTCTCTCTATCCAGGAGCAGTGGGGAACACCCACAGCCTCGGTGCTTGAAAGGTGGGATCGGGAAGATGGGCGTTCCAGGCCAGGCTCCTCTTCTTGAGAGCTTATTTGAAAAACAAACAAAATACTGATTCCACATAGGAACCAAGAAGTCCTTTGTTTGCTTTTGAGACAGTTTCATAATGTAAGCTGGCCTCTATCTCAGAGATCTACCTGTCTCTGCCTCCCAAGTGCAGGGATTAAAGGTGTGTGCTACCAGGTACAACTATTTTTTTTCTTACTATTAATTAACTTATTAATTAGCTTCTATATTTTTTTGTTTATTTATTCTGTGTGTGTAGAGGTCAGAGGATGGCTTGAGGGAGTTTGTTCTCACCTTCCACCATGACACGGGTCCTGGAAATCAAGTTCAGGTCTTCAGGCTTGACTTTATGCCCTGAGACATCTTGCTCCAGCCCCACTTTTTTTTTTTTTTTTTTTAGCAGAGAGAATATTAAATTTATTAAGCGTTCCACAACTGTTTTGTGCAAGCTATATCTTTAAAGAAGTTTCAGTTTTTTCTTTTAAGACTTTTCAGTGTTTCCAGAACCCCCACAAATGACAAACCGAGTATGGGGAGCCCCTGTGTTGAGAGAAGCCTAAAGCCAGGGCATCCCTCTGACTCTCTGCAGATGGATGTGCTAACAGGGCTCGTTCTTACCATGACCAGTTCCTCCTGGCAGCACTCCAGTTCTACCGTTATCTTGTCTCCAGGCAAGCTGGCTAGAGGGTCAACCGAAGACCAAATGTGTCCACAATGAAGAGACTGGGCTTCATTACTCCCTGGCTCAAACGAGTTGACGCTTCCCACATGCTGGAGGGAGGTTAAACTCAGGGCCCTGGGCATGCTGGGAAGTGCTCAGTCACTGTGCTTACCCCAACCCCCAATCCTCCTGAACACCTGTCTGGCAAACAGTTTGCCAGTATCTAGTAAACCCAGCGGTTTTCATGAGGGATATGCATTCTTGAGGAATCTGTATGCCTGTGAACTAGGAGATGCACACAAGAATATGCATCCACAGCTTAGTCCTGTCCTGGAACCAGAACCTTGTGAAGTCTGGGAGACAACAAGAATGAGGGAGATGACCACCTCAGATCCTGATGCCTTTTTAGTTCTATTCTAGTTTCTGATTAAGTTCAACTGTCCTTCATGTCCTCATAAACACTTTCCTATTTAGCATAAGGTCCTTTAAACATAATTTCTACTTTTTGCAATCTATAGAACCTTGAGAATAGTGGGAGCTGAGTGTGGTTGTGCACACCTTTAATCCCAACACTCATGGAGGCAAAAGGTGGTGAATGGCTGCGAGGTCGAGGCCAGCCTGGTCTACAGAGTGAGTCCAGGACAGCCAGGGCTACACAGAGAAACCCTGTCTCAAAAAGTCGAACAACAAACAAAAAGTGGGGTCTGGGGCTGTAGCTCAGCTGGTAGAGCGGCAGAGTGCTTGCTGCCTGAGTTTGCCAGCCTGGTGCCCTCAGCTCAGCCCTCAGAACCCCCGGGGAGATGGAAGGGGAAAAGCAGCTCCAAGCCCCCCCATCGTGTGGCACCCTTAGGCATGTGCACACATGTAGACACAGCCCATAATAATAAGGAAGTATTTTGGTTGGGTTTTGTTGTTGTTTGAATGTTTGTTGTTGGTTTTGCTTTAGACCAGATCTGTCCACATAGAGACCTGGAACTCACTGTATAGACCAGACTGGCCTTAAATTCACAGAGATCCGTCTGCCTCCCCAGGGCTGGGCTTAAAGGTGTGCTCCACTATGCTCAGCCATAGTAGTGTTTTTAAAGCCTTGTATAGAAACACTGAGAAGAGAGATTGGGGTGGTTAGCATGGAGAAAACAGACTTTATCTGGCGACCTGAAGGCAAGTGAGTTCTTGGCTCTCCAGCTCTGTTTTTGGTCTGAAGGATTCCCAGGGCTGCCTTCTTTTCTTTTCCTTTCACTTGTGTGTGTGTGTGTGTGTGTGTGTGTGTGTGTGTGTCTGTGTGTGTGTCTGTGTGTGTGTCTGTGTGTCTGTGTGTAGGTATGCACATATTAGTGCGGGTGCCCTCAGAGGCCAGAGGCGTCCAATCCCCTGGAATTGGAGTTAGAGGTGGCCGTCTGCCTCCAAAACACTGCTTCTGGAAACCAAACCCAGGTCCTCTGGAAGAGGAGCAAGTGCCTGGTACTGCTTGGCCATCTGTCCAGCCCCCAGGCCTCCTGGATCCGCACAGGAATGAGCACTAGGATGCTGGAGCCAGAGCGCCTGCCACCGCATTGTGCTCTTCCCGTGCTTGTCTGGACACTAGAGCTGAGGTGGAGGGCGAGGCTTGTAGCTCAGTTGGTAAAGTGCCCGCTAGTGTTCACAAGCCCCTGGGGTCAGTCTCCAGCACTCCAAAGCTGGCACAATGGCTTATACCTGTCATCCCAGCACTCAGGAGGTTCAAAGTCAGTCTCAGATACATAGTGAGCTGGAAGCCAGCCTAGGCTACTATATGAGTCTCTGTCTCAAAAAAAAAAAAAAAAGCAAGTTAGTAACTAGGAGTCTACACACATACATGATCTCCTCATTCTTAGCAGTTTCTATTTAAGGTAACTCTTAAAGCCAAACTGTCTCTGCTTAATTAAATTATTCTTCTTTTCAGGGCTGACACTGAGTTTGCTGACAAGGCAACTGGTTCCTCCCCTCAATGTCACTTACTCTGCCTTCTGCTCGTCAGTTATTTATGTAATACTTGGATCATGCCATCAAATGTCCATTGGTGAGTTCGGTGCCGGGGCCACAGGGGCTACTTACTTGTCACTTAGTGATCCGCACCAGTCAGCCCTCAGTCACCAAAAGGAAGTCCCTGGGGACATGGGGAACAGGAGCTTCACCGAGGCGCAGTTTCCACTGGCTCACGGTTGGTGAGGTCTCAGTCCATCGCCTGGTTCCATTGTTTCTGGGCCTGTCTCAGAGCTGAGCACCATGATCTCAAGTGCATGGTGGAGCAAAGCAGCTCCCCCGTGGCAGCCAAGAAACATGTACACACCCACACGCATGCATACATAGGTGCATGCATACACACAGACACACATAGAAACATATGTATATATACACACTTAAACACAGAGATACATGTGCATGCACACATGTGCAGAGACACGAACACACAGACACATGTATGTATGTATGCACGTACACACATACACATGAACACACACAGGAACACCTGCAAGACACATGTGCACACAGACACATTCACAAACACATTGATGCATACACACATACACAGTATACACATTTATACATGTGTACATGAGTTCACACACGTGCACATGTATGCGTGATGCATGCACACACATACATGCACACACACATGGGCAGGGGACAGGATATACTCAAGGGCATGTCTTCAAGGACCTACTTCATTTCCTGCCAGCAGCATGAACACTAGGGCTTCAACATAGGGTGTTTGAGATCGAAGTGTAACGTCCTCACCTTTGGTCTCCAAAACCCACATCTGTCCCACAGTGCAAAGTGCACAGGCTTTCTCTGTCTCTCTCCATAACCCCTGCAGTTCTAGCAGTGTTCAGAAGGCCAAGGCTGAAGTGTTTTTAGAGGCTTAAGATAATCTTCAGCTTTGAGTACCTCTAAATATCAAACTGTGGGGCTGGTGAGATGGCTCAGTGGTTAAGAATACTGGCTGCCCTGGGCATGGTGGGGCACACCTTTAATCCCAGCACTTGGGAGACAGAGGCAGGTGGATCTCTGTGAGTTCAAGGACAGCCAAGGCTACACAGAAGCCCTGTCTCCAAAAACCAAATGATCTATAACTCCAGTTCCAAAGGAACTGCTGATGTCTTCTGATTTCCATGGGCACCAGGTACACATTTAGTATACAGACATACATGCAAGCAAAACACCCATCATACACATGAAACAAATAAATAAATCTGAAAAAAAAAGAAGTCCATAGTGATTTTTGTTAATAATGCTAGAATAGATCAATCCACAACAATGAAACTCCATGATTTAAAATATAATCTGCCAGCTTTATTAACCCGCAATAAGAAGAGTGCCACAGTAATGCAAACCCTCAGTTCCACGGGGTAGATGCATCCCAAGGTCTGAAGTCCACCCACGAACTTCGAAGTGAGCAGAGTAGTTAAGCTCATGTCATCAGAAGATCTTTGCAGTGTAGGTGCACCTGTGTGGAAGTCAAATCACAAGCTTTGTGGAAAGGCTCCACACTGCCCCCTTCACTGAGGTGACCACCGGTCTTCGGGTTCAGTCCAGTGTCCTTGCCAGTGCTGCCTGCAGCCTGGCCACCACCCCAACCTCTAGCCAGACACAAGTGTTGCTCTGCTTCAGCAAGGGCATCTTCCCGTGCTTGACTCAGACATGCTACATGTTGGGTTTCCATTTGAACCTGAAGAAAACAGTTTTGCTCCCATATTCCTGAACTCCTAAGGCAGCTCGCAGTCATGTTCAGGTACTGTTGAGATGTGGATTAGAGCGTCAAAGGTAGGCTTTACCTTTGTTCCCACGATAAAACACCACTTGAAGGCAGTTTTGCCTCGCCTTGCACTTGGCTAAGCCTGGAGAAGCAGTGGATGTTATTTTCTTCCTGGTATTTTGATGACACTTCCTATTACTCTGATGACACCATCCCTCCTCTCTCTGCTTTGAGTTTTTTCCCTTTTTTGGACAGGGTTTCACTATGTAGATCATTATGTAGCTGGCCTGGAACTTGCCATGTAGACCAGGCTGGCTTTGAATTCATAAAGCTCCACCTGTCTCTGCCCCCCAGTGCAGGCACAGGGGCTACGCCTGACAGAGATTTCCAGTCAGTCTGTTGGAGAATCCCAACTTCCATGCCCAAAGAGATGAAACACCTGAACTCCCAGCTCTGAACTCTGTGAGGCCCCAATTCTCATCCCTGCTTTTTCTCCCTTCTCAATGGTAATGGCTAAATAATAAGAATAATTTGGCATTCCTAAACTTGAAATCTGTTCCCCAAACTTCTTTCGCAGGCCCCTTTTTCCTTATGAGTGCTCTGATGATCAATGTCCTGAAGGAGAGACCATTCAACAATGGTCACCTGATCATGGGAAGTTTTGTCAAGGATGACTTTTCTAATCCCAACTTCTACGTAAACTATAATAGCTCCTTAAGCGTGGTGGCAACTACAACCTTCCTGACTGGAATTATTCAGGTAGGAGCTGAGTCTGAATTCTTTTTTTTTTTTTTTTTTTTTTTTATTAATTACACTTTATTCATTTTGTATCCCCCCATAAGCCCCTACCTCCTCCCCTCCCGATCCAACCCCCCCTCCCCTTGAGTCTGAATTCTTAAAGAAACAGGTCTGTTGTGGTTTGAATGTGAAATGTTCCCCGGAAGACAACTGTGAGTGGACACAAGGTCCCGGCTGGGGCGCTGTTTCGAAGGCTGTGGAACCTTTACAAGACAGAGAGCCCTGTGGAGGAAGCGGGCTTCCAGAGGCAGGCCTGGAGGTTTTTATAAGCCAGTGCCATTTCCTTTCTGCCCTTCGCTTGCTGTTTTTTGGGATGTGAGTAAGCAGGGAGTGCCATTTGCACGCTCCTGCCGCTGCCCTCCAGTCTTGCTTGGCATTTGGCCATAGGAACCGACACAGCAGTTGTTAGGAGCCGCTCCTGGAGCTCATGTGGTTCCGTGCCCTTGGAAACTGTCCACACTGACTTAGAATACCACTGTGAGGAGGACTCGCCAGCCTTTCTTCCTGTGAGAGAGAGGACAGTCTAGGGACCTGGAGCCCATTCCTTATCTTTCCCTTTCATCACTTTTTCAAGCCAGGTGTGTTGCACACCTTTAATCCCAGCACTTGGGAGGCTGAGGCAGGTGGATCTCTGCAAGTCTGAGGCCAGCCTGGTCTACAGGGTGAGTTCCAGGACAGCCAGGGCTACACTGAGGAAAAAAATTATATGTCTATATATCTATACGTAGATATATACATGTAGACAGATATAGATACCACTTTTTCTAATCCTTGGACAAGAAGGTGAAAGACTTCTGGTCTCACAAGCTGAATGTGGTCCTGAAAATTGTCAGAGAGCCTGGGGTGGCACTGGATTCTGCAGTGACCAGAATAAGAGCCGCAGCTAAAGGGCAGTAACACAGTGGCTCGCCAGAGCCTCCTCGGGTGCTTGGCGCTGACCACCACACACAGCCATACACAGCCCATTGTTCCCAGCTTCCATCTCTGCCCTCTGAACTGACCCATGCTCTAGCTGGTCCCTGAGGCTGCCTTTCATCAGCTAAGCTCTCCTAGGAGCCCACAAACACCAAGCTGCCCCCAGGGGCAGCACCGACACCTGTGGGCTGGCTGCTTTGGAAATGCTTACACAACAGTGAACCTCAGCTTTTCTGTGTATCAAGTGGGAATAGTATGTTTTGCAGTGCTCTTGGGAAGATTAAGCGAAAAGCTTCCTTTGAAACACTCAGCAAGAGCCCGTCACATTGTAAGCATTAGGGAGGTGATTACTCTATAGCAGATGGACTGGCACTTTAACATCTCTCTCCGAGTGCCATTTGCCTCTGGTCCTAGCTACCTGGGAGACTAAGACAGGAGGATAACCTGAGCCCGGGAGTTTGAGGCCACCCTGGGACACATAATGAGACTATCTGAATGAATGAATGAATGAATGAATGAATGAATGAATGAATGAATGAATGAGGACATAGTTGAGGTTTTTATAAAATGGTTACTATATACACCCCACATTTGTATACATAAGTGTGCAAATTTAACAGGCTGAAAAAAACTCTTAAGTAGGAAAAACAGTAGAAATCCACATGGAGAGAAATTATGAACTTCTGAAAACTAAAGGCAAGGGGGAGAAAAATGTCCATCAAGCCCCAGAACAAAGCACTTTCCACAAAGGGAAAGCACCTCAAACAACAGCAGATTTCTTCTTGGAAACTCCAGTGGAAAAGAGGGGCTTGTGCATGAGCACCGGTGGGGCAGCCGGCCAGGAACCACAACCAGATGGGCCCGCTTCTGTGTACACAGGACACTGTGAGCAGTAGTGAGAGAGAGGGAAACAGGTCACCGAAAGCTCTGGAACAAAAAGCTATTAAAGGCCTGGGGCCGGAGACACGATTCGCCAGTTAGGAGTGCCTCTTGCTCTGGCAGAGGGCCTGGGCCAGGTCAGACTCACTCTTGCCTGTAACACCGTTCACATGGGATCTGGTGTCCTCTGCTGGCCTCCACAGGCACCTGCATGCAACTGCACCTGCACAGAGACACAGAGACACATCAAAAGAAAATCGAGCTAGGGGCTGGGTGGAGGCTGGATACATGGCTCAGCTGTGAGAGCACTGGCTGCTCTCGCAGAAGCTCCACAGGGCAGCTCACAACCACATGCGTCTCCAGGGGATCTGACACCTTCTGGGCCCGCAGGCCACTATATGCCTGGGCCCGTGGATACACAGACACATATACATAAATAAAAATTAAATGTGTCTTTTAAAAAAATTACAGGAAATGGAGCCTTGGACTGGAAAGATGACTCAGTGGTATGATTTTTCTGTGTGTCCTTGGGTGTGTGCAGTGGTCGCCAGGTTCTGGGATGAAGGGTGTGCGCCACCACTGCCTGGCGGTTGCTGGATCGTTCTTAAAACACGGCAGTCACAAGGCCAGGAAGTCCGCCGTGGCGCGTGGGTTTGTTTGCATGCTTGCTTGTTGTGGGGCAGGGTCTCGCACAGCGCGGGCTGCTCCTGCACTCCCGGCGACCATCCCCTGGCCTCCGCCTCCGCACCTCAGAGTGCCGGAGCTGCAGGTGTGCGCACCACACCACAGTGCTTCTCCTGGTTGTCTGTTCTCTGTGAACAAGTGCGGTCCCCACGGAGACGACGGGCTCTGGCCCAAGGCCTTCGGGAAGGTGAGCTTTGTCCCCTTCAGCCTACTGTTGCTGCTCCCTCCACATTCAGCCAGAGGGCAGAGTGAAGAGCCCAGCAGCTGCCAGTGTTCCAGAAGAGTGGGGAGGAGAGTGAGGGGTGCATGTTGGGAGTCAGCACCCAGGGAACCCAGTTCACTGGGGAAAGAGAGCCTGGGAGTTCTCTACGGTGGCCCTGAATTTTTGGTCGGGAATCTTTGAGCAGAGGCCGTGGCGCTGCTGGGGAGTGCAGTCAGTGCTGTTGCTGGCTTGATGGCTGTCTTAGGGTGAAACTTCTGTGATGACATCCCATGACAAACTGGGGAGGCAGAGGCAGGTGGATCTCCGAGTTTGAGGCCAGCCTGGTCTACAGGGTGAGTTCCAGGACAGCCAGGGCTACACAGAGAAATGCAACTCTGGGGAGGAAAGGGCTTATTTCACTCACCTTTCCATGTAACAGTTCATTATCGAAGTGAGAGCAGGAACTCAAACACGGCAGGAACCTGGGGGCAGAAGCAGGGGCAGAGGCCATGGAGGGCATCGTCACTTACTGGCTTGCTTGCTCCTCATGGCTTGCTCAGCCTGCTTCTTATAGAACCCAGGACCACTAGCCCATGAGCTGGGACCTCACCCATCAACCACTAGTTAAGAAAATGCCCCAGAACCAGAAATTTGAACACAGGGGTCTTCCCCGAGACTCATACTCCAACCAAGTACCATGCATGGAGATAACCTAGAACCCCTGCACAGATGTAGCCCATGGCAGTTTAGTGTCCAAGTGGGTTACATAGCAATTGGAAGAGGGACTGCCTCTGACATAATCTGATTGGCCTGCTTTTTGATCACCTCCCCCTGAGGGGGGAGCAGCCTTACCAGGCCACAGAAGATGACAATGCAGCCACTCCTGATGAGATCTGATAGACTAAGATCAGAAGGAAGGAGAGGAGGACCTCCCCTATCAGTGGACTTGGGGAGGGGCAAGTGTGAAGAAAGGGGTGGGTGGGTGGGTGGGATCGGGAGGGGAGGAGGGAGGGGCTTATGGGGGGATACAAAGTGAATAAAGTGTAATTAATAAAAATTAAAATTAAAAAATTAAAAAAAAAAAAAGAAAATGCCCTACTTGTAGCCAATCTTGTGGAGTAATTTTCTCAATTGAGGTTCCCTTCTTTCCAATGATTCTAGCCTGTGTCAAGGTGACATACAGCTGGCCAACATAATGACCCTTCTGCCTTTGTGTTTTTTTTTCTTCCCCTCCTCCCACAGCTGTCAATGGGTGTGCTAGGCATGGGCTTCGTGACCACGTATCTTCCTGAGGCTGCGATCAGCGCCTACCTGGCTGCTGTGGCCCTGCACATCATACTGGCCCAGTTGACATGCATCTTTGGGATTATGATCAGTTTTCACGCTGGTCCCATCTCCTTCTTCTATGTGAGTAACCCCAAGATCCCCCAGAGTTCACACCCCTTCTCTGGCCCAAAGTTGGCCAAAAGTTGGCCCAAGTGGACAGACTTCTGCCTGTCCCTAAAGGATAAGAGGGCCCAGACGTAGCTCCGCATCTCCTGTAGATTTAGGGTCTTGGTCAAGTGCAGAAGCCAGTTGGAGCATGTGCTCATCTGTAATAACCACTTCAATTTAACCTTCTAAACTAGATGGTCTACATTAAAATGTGGCCATGGAGCAGGGCAGTGATGGCACATGCCTTTAAAACCAGCACTGGAGGAGTAGGGAGGCAGGCAGGTGGATCTCTGAGTTGGAGGCCAGCCTGGTCTACAGAGTGAATTCCAGGACTGCCAGGGCTACACAGAGAAACCCTGTCTCCAAAAACAAAACAAAAAAGAATTGGCAGTGGGGCCAGTGATGTGGCTCAGCTGGTAAAGACGACCATCAGCAAGTATGTTGGGCTAAGCCACATCCCTGTAGCCCGCCTGCTAGAAGGGAAGAGTAGACTTCCTAATGTTGTGCTTCTGCACACACTCAGACATACATGCACTAAATAACTAAATGTTAAAAAAAAAGTTTAATTTGGTCATAAAGTTACTATTTCATAATTCTCCCTACCACATGCCACTTATTAGACTTGTATGCTAAATACACAAGAGTGTAAGTGCCCTGAATGCAAAAATGAAAACAAATTCAACTAAAGAGCATGCGTGAACTGAAAAATAACAGCCTACAGATTAATAAAAAGAACTGTTACACACAGGAGGCAGAGGCAGAGGCAGGCAAATCTCTGTAATTCTGAGGTCACCTTCTTTATATATAGCGAGTTCCAAACTGACCAGGACTACACCTGAAACAGGAGACCCTGTTTCAGCCTCCAGTCCCCATAAGAGATTCTGATGTCCTTCCTCTTTCTTTTTTTTAAATCTTATTTATTTATTTATGCAGCATTCTGCCTGCATGCCAGAAGAGGGCACCAAATCTTGTTATAGATGGTTGTGATCTGTCACATGGGTGCTGGGAATTGAATTCAGGTCCTCTGGAAGAACAGCCAGTGCCTTTTACCTCTGAGCCATCTCTCCAGCCCCAGGTCCTTTCTCTTACAATGAAATATATAAAGTATATTTTCTCCTTATCCAGCATTATGCCTTTTAAAGCATCTACTTCTCAGGCTGGAAAGACTGCTCAATGGTCAAGAGCACTGTCTGCTCTCCCAGAGGACCTGAGTTCAATTCCCAGCCACCACATGACCATCTGTGATGAGGTCTGGTGCCCTCTTCTGGTATACAGGCATACATGCAGATAGAGCACTGTATACAAAATAAATAAATCTTAAAAAAAAAAAAAAGTATCTACTAAATTAAAAAAAAAAAAAAAAAAGCAAAGCAGAAAAGTATATTCAGCCAAGTCTGATGGCTCAGACTTGAAATCTCCCTCCCCCTTCTGGAGGCCGTCGTGGGCACCTCGATGGGAGCTTGTCTCCAAAGGAGAGCTAGGAAGAGGACTGGGGAGTAGCTCAGTGGACGAGCATGTGTGAGTGAGACCGTAGGTTAGATCCTAGCACGGAGCCCTCACACCTGTGCCCTCACACCTGCCCCTCACAGTGTTCCAGTGGAGCCCAGTTGTGCTGCACTTGGGCCAAGCACCTCCTCTTTTTGCTCCTCCACCGAAGAAGAATGTCCTGTTCCGGATTTCGGCAGCTGCGATGTCCCTAAGGAGGCCTCTGCAACGTTTTCTTGTTTCAGAACCTAATCAACTACTGCATCTCGCTCCCCAAGGCGAACTCCACCAGCATTCTGTTGTTCCTTACCGCCGTGGTGGCCCTGAGAGTCAACAAGTGCATCCGCATCTCCTTCAACCGCTACCCCATCCAGTTCCCCATGGAGCTCTTCCTGGTGGGTGTCTGGGAGGCCCGGTTCCGCGAGTCGCTGCAAACACCTGTTTAAAACAAGTACCCCAGGAAGCCAGAGAAAACACCAGAAAACAAGAATCAAGAGCAGGGAGTGGTTAAGAGTATTTGCTGCACCTTTAATCCCATCATTTGGAAGGCAGAGGCAGGCAGATCTCGAGTTTGAGGCCAGCCTGATCTATAGAGCGAGTTCTAGGACAGCCAGGGCTACACAGAGAAAGGTTGACGGCAGTGGGAGATCAGGGAGGGAGTAGTGTCTGCTCGAAGAGTATCTGGGTTCAGTTCCCAGGACCACCCTCTGGAGGCTCCAAACCCAGCTCCACTGCCAGAACCAGGTTCCCTTCCTTTCCTGGCTCCACGGACATTCTTACACCCAGGGCAGGCACACAAACACAGATGGGAATTGTAAAACAGCATAGTGAATGAGGGCAAAGCCGTTAGAGGGCTTTTGTTTTTGTTTTGTTTAAAAGTTGTTTTTATTTTGGGCTGGAGAGATGGCTCAGAGGTTAAGAGCACTGGCTGTTCTTCCAAAGGTCCTGAGTTCAATTCCCATGCAACCACACGGTGGCTCACAACCATCTATAATGAGATCTGGTGCCCTCTTCTGGCATGCAGGCAGACTACTTTAGAAATAATAAATAAATAAACAAAAGTCTTTTTTTTTTTTTTTTTAAGTTACTTATTTTTACTTTATGTGCCTGGGTGTTTTACAACATGTATGTAAGGCACCACAAGCATGCCTAGTGCCTGAGGATTCAGAAAAGAAGGTTGGATCTTCTGGAACTACAGCTACAGATGGTTGTGAGCTGCCATGTGGGTGCTGGGAACTGAACCCAGTCCTCTACAAGACTTTTTATTTTAAGATTTATTTACTTATTTTATGTATATATGAGTGCTCTATCTGCATGTACACCTGCACGCCAGAAGAGGGCACCAGATCCCAGTAGAGATGGTTGTGTGCCACCATGTAGTTGCCAGGAATTGAAATCAGGTCCTCGGGAAGAACAGACAGTGTTCTTAACCACTGAGTCATCTCTTTGGCCCCCACAAGACCTCTTAACCACTGAGCCCTCTTCCCTGAATACAGTTTTAAATGTATGCTATTTAAAAAAAAATTCTCTGTTTGTGTCTGTGTCTTTCTCTCTCTCTCTCTCTCTCTCTCTCTCTCTGGTATTTTAAGATAGATTCTCACTATTTAGCCCAGACTGGCCTCAAATTCCTGACAATCCTCCTGCCCCAGCTTTTCAAGTGCTGGAGCTTCAGCCACGTGCTATGAAATGCTTTTGTTTTCATTATATTTTTTAGTTTCATTTATTATTTGCATGTGTATGCCACACATGCAAGCATGTAAGTCCCACACATGTGAAGATCAGAGAACAGTTTAGTGGGGTTGGCCCCGCCTTCCGCCGTGGGTTCAGAGATCAGACTCACGTTGTCAGGCTAGCACCCAGCAAGTGTTTGCAGCTGCTAAGTCAGTCATGTGGTTTGTGTTTTCATTTTTGAAAACTTTGAGGTTTTGTCAGGCATACTTGACATTGGGATTTTATATATTTGTTTGCACGAGGAGATGTTTGGCATGTCATAGCTATGTTCAGTCAAACTAGTCAACATTTCTGTCACTGCATAGGAATACCATTTCTGCTCCTTTGTTTTGCCTTAGTTTTGAAACAGGATCTTACTGGACAGCTCAAGCTGGCCTCCAACTCTCAACCTACCCACAAGTTCTGTGATTATAGACACAGAACCCCACAACCAGCCACAGACACAGAACCCTACAACCAGCCACAGACACAGAACCACACAACCAGCGATCATCTTTCACTGTGAGAACATTTAAGATCTAATTGCTTTCCCAATTTACAAGTCTCTTATTAACTATAGTCACCAGGTTGCACAAATGATCTCTACCAAAATGTTTATTTTAAATTGTGTGTGTGTGTGTGTGTGTGTGTGTGTGTGTGCGCACATGAAGTTAGAGCTCCCATGTGAGCACATGTAGAGGCCAGAGGTTGACATCATGTTTCTTCCTCTGTTGCCTTCTACCTTGACTTTATTTTTTTTTAATTTTTATTTTTTAATACTAAGTACAGTTTATTTACTTTGTATCCCAGCTGCAGCCCCCTCCCTCATTCCCTCCCAATCCCACCAACCCTCTCTCATCTCTCCCTGCCCCTCTCCAAGTCCACTGATAGGGGAGGACCTCCTCCCCTTCCATCTGACCCTAGCAGGTCTCATCAGGACTGGCTGCAGTATCCTCCTCTATGGCCTAGCAAGGCTGTTACTCCCTTGGGTGGGGTCGGGGGGTCAAAGAGCCAGCCACTGAGTTCATGTCAGAGACAGTCTTGACTTTTCTTTTAGTTGTCTTCTCCTCATATGTGTGTGTGTCGGGGTATGTACATGTAAATGTAGGGGCCTTCAGAGGCCAGAAGAGGATGCTGGGTCCCCTGGAGCAGCAGTCACAGATGGTTCTGAGCCCCCGTGCGGGTGCTGGAGCTGAACTTGACTGCCCTGGAAGAACAAGCAGGAGCCCTGTTCTGTGAGCATCTCTGCGGCCCACTCCTCTGTTCTTCTGAGATGGAGATTCACTGAACCCGGAGCTCTGGTAGCTGTCTCCCGTCGCCGTCCATGTGTTAGAGACCCGGGCTGCTACTGCTCTGCTTCCAATGTCAAAAGGAGCTTGGAGGACCGAAACGGATTGCCTGTCTTGACGATCATGAGTCAGCCTAGACCACATTTCCTTCACGTTGTGCTGGGGCCTCTGAGCACCTTGTTCTGGAAGCAATGCGCAGTATTTAATTATATGTTTTTGCTTTAATGACCGACAGATTCTCGGCTTCACTGTACTTACAAACAAGATAAGCATGGCTACAGAAAACAGCAAGGTGTTGATTAACATGATTCCTTACAGGTCAGTCATTCCACTTTTCTTCTTTGTTATTGGTTTTGGCTTTGGTTTTGGTTTTTTGAAACAGGGTTTCTCTGTGTAGCCCTAGCTGTTCTGGAACTCAGGCTGTAGACCAGGCTGTCCTCAAACTCAGAAGTCCACCTGCCTATGCCTCCCAAGCACTCAGATTAAAGGCGTGTGCATCATTCCAGTTTTCAAGATTGCTTTTTCTTTGTTTTTGTGACAGGGTCTTGCTATATAGCCCAGGGTGGCCTCAAACTCACAATCTTCTTGTGTCAGCCTCCAAGTGCTGGGGTGACACGCATGTGCCTTCATGACCAGTTGTTCCCTTTTCAGGAGCTCTCTCTCAGCCTTTCTCTACACAGCCTGCCTCATGGTCTTTTCTAGCAGTATCCAGCTACTGCTAAGATCTCTTAGGGCACAAAGACGTTCTCAGCCTTTTCTGTAAGATCAAGTGCAGAACAAAAGCATCGGTGAAGAAGCGGGCCAGCGCAGTGCCTCGTTTCTTCCGTACTTACTTCTGGTCACTTTTCTCATCACAGAGAGCCTGTCAACAAAAACAAAGCAAAACATTGAGTCTAGTGTGTTACGAATGCCTTTAGTCCCAGCACTTGTGAGGCAGAGGCTGGCTGATCTCTGTGAGTTCGAGGCCAGTGTGGTCTACAGAGTGAGTCCAGGACAGCTAGGGTGAGAGCGAGAGCGAGAGAGCACTTGTCAGCTTACTCAGACACCTGCTGAATGCCAGACACCAAAGAAACCGTATCTTTTTCTGTAGGCATTTTGGGTATCACAGAGCCCCACCCTTGTCTGGTTAACTTTCAGGAGTAGAACAAGAAAGCCAGGCGTGTAGTGGAGGCAGGTGGATTGGGACTTCAGGAGTTAAAGGCTAGCCTTGGCCTGCATGAGACTACTACCCACCCCCCCCCCCCCCCCCCCGCCCCCGGAAAAAGAAAGCAACAGCAAGAAGGTGGTAGAAGAGATGATTGTCTGTGCTCTGAGAAGAAACAGGCTCCATGTTCAGGAGGGACTGCTGCTTCAGTGTCACCACTTGAATGTGGGTCACAGCTGCTCTCCCCTTCCTCGCCTTCCTTCTCCTGTTTAAGTTGAGCTGGGATTGAAGCTGGGGTCTCACACAGGGTAAGCAGGCGCTCTGCCACTGAACAACATTCTCTTCTTTGAAGAAGAAGCTGGCAGCTCTGAACAACGTTCTCCTCTTAATTGGGTGGGTTATCTTTGAAGAAGCTGGCAGCCCTGCATTTGGTTTCATCTATTGCATGAGCAGCACAGGGCAGACTCTTGCTGCCCTTGGACAGTTACCATCCTTGACTTGGATCAGGAAGAACCAGACCACAGTGTCTTGACCCCCAGGCAGGCTTTTGAACACTGCTTATGACTCCGCATGGCACAAAGGGGAGGCCCAAAGCCTTGGGAGCATTGGCTGAGCTCCAGGATAGTGACAGGTGGGCCGTCTGATATAACCTTGTCCTGACAGGTCCCTGCAAAATGCAGTGATGGCCAAATGCATTTGAAATCCTATTCACCAGTAGTGATACAGTCAGACACCATCTGTAGACCAAGTGGAGGAAGCACAAGGTAAAGGCAGGTGATAGGAACGGTCAGGGAAGGGACTTCATCTGCTTCCACAGTAGTAGAAGAAGATACTGTCTTGTTGAGGAAATGAGGCGTGAGACATCCAGGTAGTAGCACAGTTATCACCTGAACTCGTTTCTGGATAATTCCAAAATCTATGATGATAACCTTTTGTTCATTGTGTTTATTTGTCTTTGGAGAAAGGGTTTCTTTGTGTAACACCCCTGGCTATCCTGGAACTCACTCTGTAGACCACGCTGACCTCAGACTCACAAAGATCCACCTGCCACCGGCTTCTGAGTGCTGGAATTAAAAGTGTGCGCCACCGAACCTGGCAACTTTATTTATTTGTTTGTTTGTTTATTATGTTATGTTATGGTGTTTTTACTGTTGTCTGTGTGAAGGTGCCAGAGCCCCTGGAACTGGATAACAGACAGTTGTGAGCTGCCATGTGGGTGCTGGGAATTGAGCCTGGGTCTTCTGGAAGAGCAGCCAGTGCCCTCAACCACGGAACTATCTCTCCAGCCCCAACTTGCCTTCTTTTTAAACCTTTTTTTGTAGATTTCTGGGGGAGAGGGAAACAGGTACGTGGCAGAGCATGTCAGAGGATAACTTGCAGGAGTTGGTTCTCTCCTTAGACTCGGCTCATCAGGCTTGGGGGAGAGCGTCAGTGAGCATGACCTGCTGAGCCAGCTCTTGCCCTGGTTCCTATTCCTAATGGCTTCCAACGCACACAGCCCAACTTCAGCTCATCTTTCACCATGAGATTCAAGGGCTGGTAGAGAGAAGGAAGCCTTTCAAAACATTGGTTTGAATGTTTTTTCTTTGAGCCCCTTCTTATATTTATCCATATCTGCCAGGAACTGGTAAAACTGGGCACTGTAACTTAAGTGCGGCTATGCCCATAGTTCCTGGTAGTGTTTTCTATTTTATTGCCTTTGGTGGCATTTTTGCTTTTGTGATGCAGGTAGTCCAGAGCAGTCTTGAATTCCTGCTCCTCCGGCATGCACATCCCAAGTGCTGAGATTACAGATGTGCTCGACCACCAGCTCCTGGATTCTTTGTTTGTTTGTTTGTTTGTTTTGATACAGGGTTTCTCTTCATAGCCTTGACTGTCCTGAACTCACTTTGTAGATCAGGCTGGCCTTGAACTCATCAAGGTCCGCCTGCCTCTGCCTCCTTGGGTGCTGGGATTATAAGCGAGTGCCACAGTGCCCGGCTTCCTTTGTTATATTTTTAATTTTACATTATTATTATTTGGGGGATGCTTGGGCATAGATGTGCCACACCATGGAGGTAGAGGTCAGAGGACAACTTTTGGGGATCAGTTTTCTCCTTTCACTGTGGGTGCCAGGGGTTTAATTCTGGTCACTAGGTTTTCAACTCTTTGTTTGTTTGTTGTTTGTTTTTTGACACAGGGTTTCTTCATGTAGCTCTGGCTGTCCTGAAACTTGCTCTGTAGAACAGTCTGGCCTCAAACTCAGAGATTTACCTGCCTCTGCCTCCTAGAGTGCCCAGCTACTATGTGTGTATGTGTGTGTATTCTTTTTAATCCTGATTTACTGTTAAGAATTGAGTGACAACAGTAGGAGGGAAAAATAATGGTTTCTATTGTTGAAGTTTGGATAATGAACTATATTTATTCTATATCCCTTTGGAATAGTCAAATTCTTATCCAACTTCATAAAAAGACATAAAGGGAAAAGTGGGCTTTAAGCATGATCTAAGAGGAATTTTTAATTAGATAAGCTATTATTTGCTCTGCAGAAAGTCTACCCCCAAAATAGCTTTTCCAAATGTGTTAAGGACACACGTGGTCTCACTGTGGGTCTTTATATTGTTTGTGAGGATGGATTCAAATATGGAGCCATATGTATTTGTCTATTTGATTAAATGGTAAAACATAATAAAAACAGTAAGCATTTTGGACACACACCATACATATACAGATATACATCATATACAGTATACACAGATACACATATATACACACATACACAAATATACACATACATACACACAACACATACATACACATAAACATACATACACAAGTATACACACAAGCATATACTCTTGCAAACAAACACACGTACACACTACACACACATATACATACACATAAGCACACACGGGCACACATGGTTGATGGCTAGGGGAGTGAGGTTCAAAAAATAAGAATTGCAAAGAACAAACAGTATCTGAAAGATTTAGAAGGCAGTTTTTACCAGACCTATAAAGTTAGACAGAGAAATGAAAGATGGAACATAGCCATGCTAAATTAGGTTTAATTGTGTCAGCATGAAGTTATATATAAGATAGCTTACATGTAAGATATATATGTATGTATGTATATATACACTCCCTCCCCAGCCATCAGGATTTCTTTTCCTTTTTTGTCTCCTTCTGTCGTGACGCTTGAAGGTTAAGCCAGTTGTGTCCTAAGGAAGCCCACGTGGTTCTGTCACATCATCATTTTATACACTGGTCAGATTTCTTCCGTTACATTCAGGAGAAAGATTGGCCTGGGGTTGTCTATTCCTTATAATGTCTTCAGTTTCTAGAAGGTTCCATAAAATTAGCCTGATTTCTTCCTTTTGTACTTGGTAGAATCCACCAGTGAAGCTATGTAGGCCTAAAGGTTTCACCGTGGGAAGGCTCCTAACTATAATTCTGGTTTTAGTGTGCTTTTTTTTTTTTCTTTTTTTTTTAGTTTGTTTTTAAGTAGGGTCTTAGGTTAGCCTAAGCTTGAAGTCTGGCATTGAGCCAGCCCTCCTGACTCCACCTCCCAGGTTCTGGGCTTATTACAGGCAAAAGCTCAAGCTCAGCTTGAGTGTGGTCAAACAAAGCTGTTATTGTCTCGACCACTTCCTTGTGATAAAACACTCTCTGACAAAAGCACTTAAGGGAGAAGGGCTTACTCCAGTGTCTACTGCAAGGGTCCAGCCTGTCATGCTGGACAGGTCAGGCGGCAGGAGCATGAAGCAGCTGGTCACAGCATTGTACAGCAGGAAGCAGGGGGAAGGTGCGTGATGTGCTCAGCGCTCTCTCTCTACTTTTCAGGTCCTAGCCAGGGAGCTATGAGGACAAGTCCCAGACATGGCCAGATGAGAGGCTCATGTCCCCGGGGACCCCAGATTCTTCACGTTGACAGTTCCCGTCACCATCATCTCCTGTGATCACTGTGCGATCACTCTGGGTTCTCTGTCTCTCCCGGAGAACACTTGGTTAATTTGAGTTCTTCGAAGTATTTATCCATTTACTCTGAATTACCAAATATATCAGTATAAAGTCACTTATACCACTATTTTATCATCTTGTTAACATACCAGAAAATGCTTTTTTTGTTTTGTTTTATTTTTGTTTGTTTGGTTTTGGATTTTTGGTTGTTGTTTTTTTGTTTGTTTTTGTTTTTTTTTTTTTCCTGTGTAACAGAGCCCTGGCTGACCCAGACTCACTTTGTAGACCAGGCTGGCCTTGAACTCACAGAGATCCATTTGCCTCTGCATTCCAAGCGTTGGGATTAAAGGCATGTGCCACCATGCCCGGCAGAAAATTTATTTTTTAAAGTGTAAAGTTTGCTCTGTCCCCTGGCTGGCAGCGCACAGGCTGCATGAGGCCTGGAGTTACTGTAAAAGACATTAACCAGCAGGACTTCCTCAGAGCTCTGGCAGCCTTCCTCAGAAAGTCCAGGAGGCTGAAAGTCCCCGAATGGGTGGACACAGTCAAGCTGGCCAGACTAAAGAGCTTGCCCCCTTTGGTGAGAACTGGTTCTCCACGAGGGCTGCCCCCAGGGGTTGACTCTATAACAAGATCTATGGAGGACAGCAAAGAAATGGCGTGAGGCCCAGCCGCTTCAGCAGAGGCTCCAGAGTGTGGCCTGCTGGTCCTCCAAGCCCTGGAGGGGCTGAAAATGTACCAAGATGGGGGCCACAAGCTAACACCTCAGGGACAGAGAGAGCTGGACAGGATCACCAGACAGATGGCAGCTGCCAACAAGAAGCATTAGAACATAGGATGTTGGGGTAACAAATTGCCTCTTTCGTAAAAATAAATAAATAAAATTTGCAGTTCAGCGAGCCAGGTATGACGGGGCGCAGCTGTAACTCCAGCCCTGGGGCGGGGAAAGAGAGACCAGGGCCTCCAGACCAGCCCGCACTGCCCGAGGCTCTAATTCAAAAAGATAAGACAACAGAGCAAAAATCTCTGGGAACGAAGGTATGGGTAGGACTTGTGGGTGCCTGAAGGAAGGGCAGCGAGTGGGGTGCTGTGCTGAGGGTGTGACGGGAAGGGGCTTGAGGAGCACTTTAACTCTAGAGCGTCCTGGTGCGGCACCAGCCTGCAGCACACACCGCAGAAGGCCCTCCGTAGACGCATCCCCTCCACACACACCCGTTACTCACCCGTCCTGTAAGGTGGGAGCTAGGGGCAGAGGACCCGCAAGGATGTTATCTTGATGGGCTTTGTAACTTGGCTCTGTTCGTTGGCTGTTCTGGCAAGCTGCTGCCTCCATTGCTGTATTTAAAAAAAAAAAAAAAAAAGTGGAGGAGGGAGCATGGTGTCTGCCGGCACAGGGACAGGATGGGAGAAGTGTAGCAGGGTCTTGCCACCCAGCAGTAATTCCACTTTTCCATTGCAGCTTTGTGCTCCCCGAGACTCCAGAGTTTGGTGTTCTTCACAGTATTATTTCACAAGCCATATCTCTATCGCTAGTGAGTGCCTTTCTGCTCATATCTCTGGGCAAGAAGATTGCCAGATACCATAACTACAGAGTCAATTCCAACCAGGTGAGGGGGCCTTACGTGGTCTTGTTCTCCAGCATGACTGTTCTCTGATGTGGGCCTTGCACCAACCTCAAGGTTCTGTTCCTCTTTAACCAGTTATTTGGACCATAATTTGGACTATAATCACATAAGGTTACTGAGAGGTGGAGAATGTGTGACTTTGAACCTTCTTGAATTCGTACAAGTATTGTTCCCCTACAGTGGATACGGTACAGAGAGGCAAAGGAGTGAACCAGGTGGGGTGGTGCATGTTTGTTATCCCAGCGCTCAGGAAGCAGAAGCAGGATCAGGAGTTCAAGGCCAGCCTTAGCTATGTGGCCAGTGAAGCCAGCCTAGGCTACATGAGACCCTGTCTTAAAACAGTGATGAGGGAGCAGAGTTCCTCTTCCTCTTCCCTCTGGCCTTAGAAGCCGGGCACGGGTGCCATGGGATGGCGTACACACCAGACTGCTTGTACCTGTCATTAAAAAATATCCAACTACTCTGAGAGTGGTCCTTTCCCTAGAGCTCAGGAGGGACACAGAAGCAAGCAGTGCCCTAGCCAGTCACTTAGATTAGTGTAGAATGGGGAGAAGGCTCGCACTGAGCTCCCGGAGTCGTGAGAAAGAGGCAAGAATCAGTCATTACTGCTTTGTCTTTCAGAAGACATTTCCCTTATGGTCAGAAGGGAGGGCGGGCAGAGACACAACTTGATCTAGAAGATCAGATTGGCCTCCCTGTGTGCTCCCCAAGGCTACAGCCAAGTGTTGTTAGGAGGGTGTAAGGACCCCAACATGACCTCACAAAATAGTGAACCTTTAGCTCAAAATCAGATTCCTCAGCAAAAAGTGGACTCAAAAGCTCTGCTGATTCTCCACAGGATTTAATAGCCATCGGCCTTTGCAACGTGGTCAGCTCCTTTTTCAGATCTTATGTGTTTACGGGTGCTTTGGCCAGGACTATTATCCAAGACAAATCTGGAGGAAGACAGCAGGTGTGTTGAGAAGGAAGCCTACGCTTGGTGTGTCCACATAAGGAAAGAGATGCCATCTGTCCACATGCCTGTCCACAGAAGGGCTTCATCTGGGCTGATCTCAAGGGGAATCTCCAGGAAGAGTTTGGATTCCATGTTCGCCTTAATTTTTGCTCAGATTTTGTCAGTAAAGGTTACGGGATGGAGGCACAGCCTGTAATCCCAACACCCACTCACCTCCATCCCCAGGGCAGTGCTAGGGAAGTGGCGCATTGGTCAGGAGCACTTGCTGCTCTCACAGAGGGCCTGGGCTTCATTCCGAGCCATATCAGGTGGCTCACAACTGTCTGTAACTCCAGTGCCCTCTCTGTGCTCCTCAGGCACCAGGCATGACATGGTGCACATACATGCATGCGGGGAGGTAGTCATCCACATAAAATAACAACAGCCCTTAAAAAGATGAAAGGCACCAGCTATGACAGTGCACGCCTTTCATCCCAGCACTGGGGAGGCAGAGGCAGGCGGGTCTCTGTGGGTTCAAGGCCAGCGTGGTCTACACCCTGAGTTCTAGCACAGCCAGGGCTACATCATGAGATCCTGTCTCAGATACAAAACAAAGAAAAGATGAAACACCCCTAAAGACAGGAAGGTGTCAAAGCTCCCAGCAACATGGGAGTAGATGGGACATTCATTTATACAGGAAGTTGAATGGGTGGAACTTGGGGCTGTCAGTGAGGTTCTTGAGGTTGGAGTTTTACGTTGTGTGAGGAGGTAGCTAAAGTTTTGAACGCTAAGATAAACAAGCCATATCTAGGGAGATTCATAGCTCCAAGCTGTGACAGTAAGGACTCTAGGGAAAACTGAAACTTCCCAGACAGCATTCATAAGACACGTTTGAAGTACCTACTATGTGTCAAATATGTCAGTAAGATCCTAAAAGGTATGCTGAAGACCCAGCTCTTCTTAAGAAAAAAAAAGGGGGGGGGCATGCTTCCCAGAAAACAGAAGGCCTCAGTTGCAGACAGGGACCAATGCATTCCTGACAGTTTCTCTTGAACCAGCTCTGTCTCCTCAGTTTGCATCTCTGGTAGGTGCAGGTGTGATGCTGCTCCTGATGGTGAAGATAGGAAACTTCTTCCACAATCTGCCCAATGTAAGTCAGGAGACAAGGAGTCTGGGGGCGGGAGGGACCGCTAGGTGCCTAAGGGCACTAGCTGCTGTCCACGGGAGAGCCCAGCACCCATATGACAGCTCACAACTTTCTATAACTCCAGTTCCAGGGGGTCATGCATATGGTGCACATACATACATGCAAACACTCATCCACATAAAGATCAATAGAGTTGCAGAGAATTGCCTTTGTGTGGTTCCCAGGGGAGGCTCCAGCCTTTTTTCTTAAATAATGACGTCTTGGAAGCAGGGGATGACTCAGTGGGAAAGGGTGCTTGCTATATAAGCATGGGGCCTGAGTTTGAATATCCAGCACCATGTAAAAGCCAGTGTAGCTGCATGCACCTGCAACCCAGTGCTGGAGGGCGGCGGGTGGAGGCAGGACACTCGAGGGCGTCCTCTGTCCTCTGTGTGCACGCACAGGTACAACCACCCTTCAACACTCATGAACCAAGCCACAGACACAGCACACAGCCGTGTCTCCATCACAAGGCTGGACATTAAACACGACTCTACATACCACGGGTATGTTCATGTAGAACAGGCTCATGTCACGTTCGTGGAGAGTGGTCAAGAAACACAATTACAATTGTTGTCATCAAGCTCTAAGTTCAGTTTTAGGTGTGGAATTCATTGAGGAATGGCAAGAGCAGTTCCAATTGTGGGAACCCAATTGAGACTCAAAACGCTCAATGTGTGTCCGTGCCATTTGTTTGGGCCTCGTGCATCTGAACTTTGTCCCTCCATTGCTGCCCCCAGCCTCTTAATTATCCACGGCATTAGAAGAGCAGGCCTGCGGGTTGGCATTGACTTTGTGTTCAGCTGGATGTGTCTCTGCTTGAATGTATCTCTTCTTTGTCTGAGACATGACCTGACCCTTAGCCATATTGTGTGTGCTTATTACAGCTGTAACCAAACGATTCTAAGCAATAACATAGGTTCATGCCCCAAATATACAGAACATACCAGAATGCTAGCAGGGGCTGCCTCTTTGATGATGGAAATTATACAGACTAGGCATGGTGACTAGTCATGCTGACAATTCTAGCACCCAGTGTGGAGAGGGAGGAACACTGCAAGCCAGCCTCATCTAAGTAGTGAGTTCCAGGGTAGCCAGGGCTGCATAGAAAGACCTTGTATCAAAAAAAGAAAAAAAAAGTTTCTAAAAAATAGAATTATGTAGGACTGTAATTAATTTTTAATGAAATGAAAATTTTACCTTAGTATTCAGAAAGGACACAGCTTTGCTGTACATGGCTTTATGATGGGCTTTGTCTCCTGTAGATATTCCTTGCCACGGGTCAAAAGAAAAACAGTTCAGCCAGGTGGCCCCAGCACCTGGCAGGCAGAGGCAGGTGGATATCTGACTGTGAAACCAGCCTCCTCTACACAGGGAGCCCAGAACAGCCAGGGCCACACAGGGAAACCTTGTCTCAAAAAACAAAACAAAACAAACAAACAAAAAAAAAAAACAAGACAGACAGACAGATAGGACTGGTGGGAAGAAGCCATAACTAACTTTGTGCTGTTCCCTCTTCTGCTGACCTGCTGTGTCTGTGTCATCCTCACTGTGCTTTCTCAGAAGGCAGCCAGTGTCCTGGCTGAATCAGTCAGTGCTGACCTTGGCTTGGCCTTGCCTGTTTGACCTAACACATTGGAAGAATAGAGGAAAATGGAAAGGGTTTTTATTTGAACCGTGAGTCAGAGCTTGGGTGTGCTGTTCATATTAAAAAGCCCATGTAACATTTCTAGAGGCAAGGCTAGCTTTTGTGGTTCCTTTGTGAGAACGAGACGGTTTCTCTTTCCCCCACAGGCCGTGCTGGCAGGAATCATCCTGAGCAATGTGGTGCCCTACCTTGAGACCATTTACCACTTACCCGGTCTGTGGAGGCAGGACCAGTATGACTGTGTGAGTACAGTCGCCTGGGGGGTATGGGGGAGGAATGGAGGCATAGATGGAGTCGGGGGCTGCAGGGGACACAGAAGCAGCCAGAGCTGAGCTGCAGAGCACTGGCTGCAGAGCAGCATCCCTGAGCACCTCAGAAGAGCCAGGCAAGGGTTTGGTCAGGAGCCGCTTGCCGCCTAAGACCCCAGAGCGCACATCAAAAGCTGGTGTTGTGGCACAAACTTAGAATTCCAGGGCCAGAAAAGCAGAAGAAGGGGATTCTTGTGGCTTGCTGGCCACCAGCTTAGCCTAAGGGGAGCTCCAGGCTAATGTGAATCCTGGCCTCAAAAAGTGTACGGTTCCTTTGGCCTCCACATGCAGGCACGTCCACTCATCTATGCACACAAATGTAGCCGCCACACCAGCATGAGTGCACACATACTAAAACAGATAAAACTTAAGAACAGAGCCAAGATTAACAATAACCATTACAAACATTTAACTATCATGCAGTGAGCTCTGTACCAACCCATCCTACCATCCAACAAGGCAGATAACGTTGTCTCCATTTTGTACATGGGGATACTGATATTATGAGAAAGAGATTAAGGGAGAGGTGATCAGAAATCCACAGAGAACATGTAGGCAGCATCTAGGGCCAAGTTGTCTGAGATGGGCCTGGCACGTCTCCATTTTGCTCATTTTCACAGTCTCCTTCCCATTCTAACCCTTTCCCACAAGGTCATTTGGATGGTGACATTCTTCTCTGCGATTTTCCTGGGACTAGACCTTGGACTACTTATTTCACTCGTCTTTGCTTTCTTCGTCATCACTGCTCGTTCGCACAGGTACTCAACCTCTGATAGGTAGAGGACAGCCATGGCAAGGCAAGGGCACGGGGTCCTAAGACAAGTACATTTCCCTCCAGAACGAAGCTCCTCGTCTTGGGTCAAATCCCCAACACCAACATCTATAGGAGCATCAACGAATACCGGGAGGTAAGAAGCCAGCAAGGGGTGGGGAGACGGCTCAGGGGAGAAAGCCAGAGCCATGCGTGTGCGAGGAGTTCAGTCCCTCAGAACCCACCGGAATCTCAGTACTTGGGAGGCAGAGAGAGGACGTCCCAGATGTCAGATCATAGGGCTCTGGATTGCAGTGGACAGCAGTTGAAGACGACGCTTGACTTAACCTCCAGCCTCCGTGTATGCACCTCAGACACACCTCTGTGCCCACATCCATGCAAACACACACAATACACACAGGCATAGGAGGAGGGGGCTGCAGAGAAGCAGCCAGCTCAGCCCCAGTCCCTCATCAAGGCATTGTAGCCATCTACACAGGGCGCGAGGGACGCAAGGCTCCAAGGGACAGGTGGTGAGTGTCCTTACGCTCCTGCAGCCAGCAGCGGGCCTTCTACCCTCTCACTGTGACTTCAGGGAAAAGAAGGTAGATAAGAAGAAATGGAAGAATACAGCAGAGCAGAGCTGGGGCACCAGGTGCGCTGCTTGTTCACCTTTAACCTCAGTACTCTGGAGGCAGAGACAAGCAGGTATCTGTGGATCTCTGAGTTCAAGGCCAGCCTGGTCCTGAACTCATGTATATCCAACTCTAATTCCAAGCTAGCAAGAGCTGCATAGTGAGACCCTGGAGACAGAGACAGAAAGGGAGTGAGACAGAGAGAGACACAGAGAGAAAATGCTGGGAATGAGATGGGAATAGAATTTTTTAGCTCTTAACACAGAGGCCAGAAGTTCTTGAAGAACATTAAACCTGTGCGTTTCTGCTTGTGGTTGCGGCCCCGCACGCCTTTAATCTCAGCGCGTGGGAGGCGAAGGAGGGTGGAACTCTGTGAGTTTGAGGTCAGCCTGGCCTACAGAGAGAGTTCCAGGCCAGGGCCCTGTCTTGGAAAAAAAGAAAAAAACAAACAAACAAAAAAAAAATTGCTGTGTGGTTCTTCCTCCCGGAAAGAGCAGAGGCCTGTGCTCAGCCTTACCATGTCCTGCAGGTGGTGTTCATCCCTGGGGTGAAGATCTTGCAGTGTTGCAACTCCATCACCTTTGTCAATGTGTATGACCTAAAGCACAAGCTGTTAAAAGAGGTGAGGGCCCGCCGCCACCAGGCACCCCTCCTGCCTCTGGGTCTCCCTTTCCACCATCTGTCCTCTGTGTGAAACCCTTCTTCTGTCTCCCAGGTCAATATGGTAAAGACGCCTCTTAAAGAAGAAGAAATTTTCACTCTGTTTCATGAAAGTGAAACCAATGTATCGGAACACAAAATATGTAGGTGTTTCTGCGACTGTGAAGAGCTGGTGCCGGAGAGCAGGGTGAGCCGCACCTCTCCCGTCCCGAGTCTTCTTCCCTCTTCCTTTTTCTGTCTGTTTTTATTTGTTTGTGTGTTTGTTTGTTCCCAAGACTCACTGTGTAGACCAGATCTCGAAGATCTGCCTGCCCCTGCCTTTTAAATGCTGGGATTAAAGTGTGCACCACCACTTTCTGGCTTCCTGCCCTTTTCTTTGAAAGTGAACTAGCCATCCCCTTTAAGGAGAAGCAGTCCATCTGAACACATGCGCAAACACATACAGCGCTAAATAGACTCTAGATATGGAAAGAGAGCTGTATGAGTTGGGATGATGGGGGAATAGAGGAGGGGTTGGAGAGATAAGGTAGCCATGGATTTGATAGTATATAAATGCACAAACACATTTTTGTGCTGTATGTGTATGCGTATATATATATATATATTTTTTTGGGGGGGGGTGGGAGGTAGGGTCTCACTGTGTAGCTCTAGCTGGCCTGGAACGCAATATGTGAGCCAAGCCAGCCTTGAGTTCACAGAGATCCACCTGCTTCCTCCTCTCGAGGGCTAGAATTGAAGCCACACACCCCGTGCCTTTCCGACCTTGAAGGCTTGACTCTACCAACTTATTGTTTGAGACAGGGTGTTGCTTTGTAGTTCAGGCTGGCCTCAAGCTCAGAGTAATCATCCTGTTTCATATCCCAAATCCTAGAATTACCATACCATGCTGAATGGCTTTAAGGTTTATCAGTCCAGAGCTAAGCTTGTTCTGCTTGCCTGTTCAACCCCCAAATTATATGAGTGTTTTGAAGCAATTCATGGGGTTTCAATCAAATTAGGGAGGCAACTCTTCATTAATGTGACATAAATATAATTTATATTTTCAATCATAAACATTTTTGACATTTGTATAATCCAAACATGTTATAATTTAAATCTTTTTGTTTCTAGATGGTAAATAATAGTACAATTGGAAATTTTTTATTTTTTAATTTATGTATATACACATCTGTGTGTATATATGTTTGTATGTGTTTATATATGTATGTACATATATGTGTATATATGCATGTGTGTATTTGGTGTGTGTGTGTGTGTGTGTGTGTGTGTGTGTGTGTGTGTATGCAGATACTGACACAGATCAGAAGAGCATCGGATCCCTGGAGCTGGAGTTACAGATGATTGTGAGCCTCCTGAAATGAATGCTGAGAACTGAATTCTGGTCTTCTGCCAGAGCAGCAGGTGCTCTTAACTGCTGAGCCGTCTCTCCAGTCCAACCTGAAATTTATTAGGAATAGTGACCTACAGTACAGTACGAGTATGCCGTCTTCTGAACCGTATGTCTGGCTTCTAACAGCTCATAAGACTTTGGACAGAGAGAGCAGCATGAACTCAGAAAGCCAGAGGCATGGCAAATGGGTATGTGCTGCTGAGAGTCACTCAGGTTGCCATTGGCTTGGAAGATAGAGGGTTCTCCTTCTCCATACCCTAGACCTGGCAAGGACCTTGAGGCAGAGCTAAGTGTGAGGCTTTCAGGAGCACAGGACTGGTGTTCTCAGCCAGGCAGGACACAGTAGAGGGTGAGGAAGAAGGGCCAGGGAGGCGATCGTGAATCAGTCATCATGCTCCATATGCCCAGGCCACACTAGCCTTGCACGATGTGGGCACTCCGAGCCTGTGGTTCCGTCCATATGCTACACCAGCCGCTCGTAGGAGATGGAAGGCAGTCAGAGATAAAGACAGGCTTCTCAAGAACCAGCCACTCCGTTCCTAAGGCTGGAGGGAAGACAGTTGCATGCATGCGAGAAAGTGCAGAGGAAAGCCTGATAGAGAGCAAGTTAGAGGTCTGAGGAAATGGCTTGGTTGTTAACAGCACGTACTGCTCTTCCCGAGGACCCAGGTTCAGTTTCCAGCACCCATATAAGTTGGCTCAACTGCCTATAACTGCAGTTTTAGAGGATCTGTCACCCTATTTTGCCTTCTGTAAAAATGTGATGTATGTGGCTTGATTATATATACTGAACAGTGCACACTCGTACATACATACAAATATACATACATACATACATACATATTAAAAAAAAGAAAGTACTTTATGGGAAGTTGTAATAAATGTCAGAGATTCATTGGGACCCAAGAACAATGGAAATGAATTAACTAAAGGTGATTTCAAGTCTGGACACAAACAGTTGGGAAGAAGATACTGTGGACTAGTGAGGGTGAGAACCTATGATATGGCTTTGATTGTGAGCTTGAAGTGATAGTGGGACAACCACGTTTAAAAATGTGTGATAAGCCGGGCATTGTGGCACATGTCTTTGATCTGAGCACTTAGGAGGCAGAGGCAGGTGGATCTCTGAGTTCACGGCCAGCCTGGTCTACAGAGCAAATTCCAGGACAGCCAGGACTACACAAAGAAACCCTACCTCAAAAACCCAAACAAATAAGTAGATAAATAAATAAATAAAGATGTGTGATGGGGTAAAGCTTTGGAGAAGAGATGGGAGCTAGAAGGCCAGAGTGTGTTTGCAAGGCCTTCAGCCCTGACTGAGTCTCATCAAGTCCCACTTTCCTCTGTTGCCTCAGATTGTCTACACAGAGCGATATGAAAACAAACAGGAGCGGGGCTATTCCTCCACTAACGTGATCCACTGCTCCTACCTGGGCAATGCAGAGTCGAGCCCGAGCACCTCTGAAGACCCTGTCCCCTACACAGTGTCTTCCACATCACAGAGAAATCTGGGGCAGAACTACGATGACATGGAGAAAACCTGGGTGTCCAACAACCCCTCAAGAAACAATTCACTACCGCCGCCTGAAACCACGGAAAGCTTAGCACAGAGCAAATCCGTCATCCTGCCTTACTCAGATACGGCTCTGCAGATGAATAGCCACACCGTCATTCTGGACTTTTCCATGGTGCACTATGTGGATACTCGGGCTTCGGTTGTGCTGAGGCAGGTAAGTACCGAGGAGGCAGGGCAGGCTCGGTTCCCACCCTATGACCCACACCTTCACCCCCACCCCAGTCTAATTCTGTGAGTCAGGGAGTTGCCCTTACTAGAGATGAGGACAGTGAGGGTGGTTTAAAGTCAAAGAAAACATGGAAGAAGTGGCCAGTGGCGGTGGCACACGCCTCTAATCCTAGCACTTAGGAGGCACAGGCAGGCAGATCTCTGAGTTTGAGGCCGGCCTAGTCTACAGAGTGACTTCAGGACAGCCAAGGCTACACAGACAAACCCTGTCTTGGTAAACCAAAAACCAAAAACAAAACAAAACAAAAAACCAGAAAGGAAATAAGCCAACTCTGGCTTGTTGAATTACAGCAGTTCCCTAGGCCTGAATCATTCATCATTTCTCAAGAAACTGGGGGGGGAGGGGCTCTTGATATCAGTGAGGACAATATCTGTGTCCTACCCACTGTGGAACTCCAGGACAGCTACGGACCTTTTCAGTAATGACGCTCTACAGAAAAAGAAATGTTCATTAAGATTTTGCTGACTAGTCAGCTGCTCCGGTCCAGGCACGGGTTTCCAGTGCTCCACCTGGAAGAGTAACAGGAAATGACACCTCAAGGCTGGCCCGGCCTGTGGGACACCAGCAGGGCCTCCGCACCTCCCACTCTCTTCTTTGCTGCTAGTACTCCTGGGGTCTCTGACAAGTCTGCTCCCTCCACCAGCAGACAGCAGAGCTATGTGGTCACAGAGCCGGCTTTGCTGTGCCCTTCCCTTTCAGCCACTTCTCTGTCCACCCCTGTTCCCAGCGGCCCCAGGTTAAGCATGTACGATGCTCTCTCCCAGCTCTCGTGGACCTGCCCTGCTCTCTGGATGGGCACAACCTCCTCTGACTTGGATTCTGTTTTCTGAAGCCTTCATACTCTTGAATGAGTAGGCTCCTCTTTGAGCTGAGGCTGTAGAAGCTTTTCTGAGTAGGAAAAGCTCTTACTGCCTGTGCAGAGAGGTGGGCTCTCTATGTATGGCTTTGCCATTTGCTGTCCATCGGACCCTTGTTTCTAAGATGCACAGCCTAGAAAAGTTACCAGTATGAGAGGCCGTAAGACTGCCCAGCATACATGCACCTCCGGTTCCATCCCCAGCACCGCCGAGGTACATCTAGAATCTCAGTGCTTGGAGGTGGCTCAGGGTAGCCACACAGTGAGTTATAGGCTAGCCTGATCTGTTTTATTTATTTAATTAAGTTTATTGGGCTGGAGAGATGGCTCAGGGGTTAAAGAGCACTGATTGCTTTTCCAGCACCCACATGGTACCCCACAACTTTCTGTAACTCCAAGAGCTGACACCCTCACACAGACATACATGCATGCTAAACACCAATGCACATAAAATAAAAATAAATTTAAAATATTTATCTATTTTTGTCTTCCAAGAGTAGCCCTGGCCATCTTGGAACATGCTCTGTAGACTAGGCTTGCCTGGAACTCAGAGATCCCCCTGCTTCTGAATTCTAAATGCTGCCTGTCTCTGTCTTCCAAGTACCGGGGTGAATGTGTGCTCCACCATGCCCTGCCCTCATCCCCGGTTTAGATTCAAATGTATTTGATGCTTCTCCTTTCAGATCTTGGCATCTCAAGCCACTGAGCTGGGCTGGGTTGCCTTCTTCCAGTCTTGTACTGTAGTTGTTGCTTTACAGTTATTCAGCCCACATTACTGAACGCTACATGCAGGGCCAAGCTGAGTACACACACTCACGCCTTTGCCTTCAGTTCTCCCAGCAGCCCCAAGAACAGCCCCCATGTTGAAGAGTCCAAGACTTGCTAACAGAACTTCTGGCATCTGGCTTTTCCTGCCTCTTCCTACCTGCTCCGTAGGACAGTGCTCAGCACCCCTCTCTTGCCCCCCCATTCTTACAGAGGCACCTTGTATTGTGGTATCTATACCTGGCCTACACAGATGGCTTTCTGATCCAGAGACAAGCCAGGATCCTTTGCCTTACAGCTCCTTATTGGAGAAGAGTATTGTGTTCCACTTACCGTAGGATAAAAAGCATGGGGCTGAAGAGTCAGCTCAGCAGTTATGAGCCCTGGCTGCCTCTCCAGAGGACCCAGGTTCAGTTCCCGGCACCCGCATGGCAGCTCACCACTGTCGGTACCTCCAGTTCCAGGAGAAGTAATGCTCTCTGGCCTCTACGGGCGCCAGGCACACAGTGTGGACACACAGACTCACACATGCACATTAATAAAAACACGTCTTTTTCAAAGGGGGGTCTAGCTCTTTGTCACACCTCTCCAGAATGTTCCCAGGGGCATCACTGCTCGCCTCCCCGAAGGCTTCCTTGTGGACACGGCCTTTTCCTGGGAACAGTCTCCCTGCTTGGGATTCTAAACAGTCTTGCCCATCACTCCCCACCCACCATGGGAGGCTCTGGTTGGTTTTTGCATCCCCAGCCCTGGCACTCAGAAGCCCACTCACCCATTGCTTCTAGGCCTGGCAGGGAAAGGTACAGATTGGCTAGCAAGTGAGTGGCTATTGAGGACTTAGACTGCAGCCGGTGGGGGCGCTGGGGGCATGCACACTCTCTGACGGCACACCCTGCCCCTCTCTCTCTCCCTGCAGATGTGCAATGCTTTCTACAATGCCAACATTTTGGTGCTCATCTCAGGGTGTCACAGTGAGTTACCCTTCGCCCTGTGAGGGCTTGTGTGTCTTGTACCCCATGGGTTCTGCTTCCAGGCACTGACACCAGTGTGTTTGGGTTTGGTTTGTAGCCTCTGTGGTCAAGTCATTCGAGAAGAATAATTTCTTTGACGAAGGCATCACAAAGTCCCAGCTCTTCCTCAGCCTCCATGACGCTGTGCTGTTTGCCCTGTCAAGGAAGCCGCCCGAGCCCTCGGAGTTAAGCGCAGATGCAACTGAGACAGTGATGCAGGAAACCTACTCAGAATCAGACAAGGTTGGGTGAGGCGGGGCCCCAGGGCTGGGGGAGAAGTAGGGAGACAGGGGATTCCGGCACCTGTGCCGGAACGGGAGGCGCTGAGCATGCTCTGGGGCCAACCGTTCGGTGGCAAAGACCTGAGCTGTCGAGGGCCCCCACTGCCACACCTCTGGGAGTCCCATCCAGGACCCAGCCCCAGCCCAGCAGAGGCCTCAGGAGTCCCTGCACAGCATCGCCAGGGATAGTGTCACACCATGTGCTAGCTATCTGAACGCCTCCCCTAGACAGACTCTAGCGCCGCCAACCACCGTCTCCGGGGGGAGTCCTAAGTCTGAGGAGCCAGAAGATGCGCCTGCCTCCCAGGACTTGGGTGATTGTTTACATTGTGAGTAATGAAGGACTCATTCATCATGACCAGATGCAAAAGAGGAAGACAAACACATCAGCAGTTTAAACCCTAAGTAAAGACCTGAATAGGCTTCGGGCTTCCCAGATCAGAGTCAGCAAGAAATGAAAACGCAGACAGGCACCTTAGCGCTCTCTAATGGTCAGGAATTAGTTTTCAACTCTTATTTGACCTATGATCTTTTTTAATATGGTTTGCATTTTAATGATAAGAAAAGTGCTACCATGTTATTGTTTCTAAACTATTTGGACACTTAGAGAACACAGGTCTTCTTCGTCTCTCCCTCCTCCTCCTCTCCCCCTCTTTGCCTGGCTTTACTGAGAAGTGTTACAGGTTATGTACCTCTTATTTTTTCAGAACAGTTTTCTCATTTTTTCTTTTTTTCCCCCGAGACAGGGAAGCTGTGTAGCTCTGGATGTCTCCTGGACTCATTTTTTTTTTAATTTTTTATTTAACTTTCATTAATTACACTTTATTCATTTTGTATCCCCCCATAAGCCCCTCCCTTCTCCCTTCCCGACCCCACCCTCCCTCCCCTTTCTCCATGCATGCTCCTCCCAAGACAAATCCAGATACTTTATGCTTCATATGCTGTGTGTGTGTGATTTATTTTTAAAATACTGTTTCTTTTCAGTTGAATGTTGTCATGTTCAGTTATGTGTCTGTATGTGTGGCCCGTGTGTGGGTATGTGCACTTGAGCGCAGTGCCCACAGAGACCGTCTCTGGATCGAATGGGTCAGGAGTTACAGTTGTTAGTTAGCTACCTCATGTGGGTTCTGGGAATTGAACTCACATCCCTCTGGAAGTGTAGGACATGATCCTTACTGCTCTAAACCCTGGATTTTTGTTCTTGTTTATGTGTTTATGTGTGTGTCTGTGTCTAAGTGTTTCTACGTGGCAGGGGCAAGGGGGGGGGAGGGCTTGCAGAGGCCGAGAGGGGACTTAAGATCCCTGGAGCTAGAGTTACAGGGATGGTAAGCTACCTGTGGGTGTGAGAACCAACTCAGGTCAGCCTGGAAGAGGCAGAGCTGTTAACTGCTGAACCATCTGTCCACATTTTAGTTGTTTCTGTTGTGAATTGCTTTTCAAGAGACGTCTTCACTGTCTGGGCATGAGGGTTCCTACTTATAACCCACCCACTTGAAGCTGAGGCGGGAGGAGCACATGACAGTTCAGACTTACAACCCAGCTACTCAAGGAGCTGAGGCAGGAGGAGCACTTAAACTCACAAGTTTGATATCAACCAGGCCAGCATAGCAAGACGCTCCTTGCCAATCTCAAACTAATAACAACAGTAAGAGATTTTACCTGCAGCAGATGTTCTATTGGGCAGGTAGAAGAAAGCACCAGATTTTACAAATTGCTTGACCAACTTTGTGACTTGTTCTACCAGTCATGAGAGGGTTCACTATTAATTCTCTTGGGTTTTCTTCATTTAAAAAAAAAAAATTACAAAGATATCTAGAAGGCTCAGCAGGCAAAGCCACCCACCAAGCCTGTCAGCCAGGGTTCCAGCCCCAGGACCCACACAGTGGAGCGAGAGCTGGCTTCCACACATATGCCCCCCCCAACACACAAGTGCCCCCCACATGTGCACCCCATATACAAGTACACATCCATAAATATGTACATTCAAAAATAAATGTAATGTTTTTGTGTTTTTTTTTTCTTGTTTGGGGCTTTTTATTTTTATTAGTTAATTCACTTTATGTTTTTGAGACAGGGTTTCTCTGTGTAGCCCTGACTGTCCTGGACTCACTTTGTAGACCAGGCTGGCCTCGAACTCGCAGAGGTCCGCCTGCTTCTGCCTCCCGGTATACTGGGGTTATAGGTGTGCACCACTGTGCCCAACTGCATGTGATAGTTTTTTAATTCACAGAAAATAACACTCATCTATTGTTTCCTAGGTTATAATTATTGTTTAAATTTTTTAATTTTTAAAAATGTATTATTACAATATATTCACACTGTATCCTGGCTGTGGCCCCCTCCCTCGTCTCCTCCCAGCCCCACCCTCCTTCCTTCTTCTCCCCCTATGCCCTTTTCCTAGTCCACTGATAGGGGAGCTCTTCCTGCCCTTCTCTCTGACCCTAGCCTATCAGGTCTCATCAGAGCTGGCTGCATGGTCTTCCTCTGTGGCCTGGCAAGGCTGCACCCTCCAGGGGGAGGTGATCAGAGAGCCCACCACTGAGTTCATGCCAGGGACATGTTACACTTCTTACTTTCATATTATGTCCTGTTGCTTAAATCAGTCCTCAGGACCAGGTGAGCAGGGGCGATAGGTCTTGCCTTGTTCCTGGGTTAACGGAGAAACTTCCGGCCTGTCAGCACCAAGGCTGGCAGCTGCTGTGGCTCCCCATGTTCTTTAACAAGCACCATGCTGCTCACCTGATGCTCCTTTCAGGACTTACCTTAAGAGTTGGCCCTGAGGGACTGCAGAGGTGGCTCAGCAGTTAAGAGTACTGTCTGCTCTTCCAGAGGACCCAGGTTCAACTCCCAGCACACACACATGGCAGCTCACAACTGTCTATAACATACATGCAGACAAAACAACAATGCACATAAAATAAAATAAAATTTAAAAAGAGAAAAAAAAGAGTTGGCATTGAAAGTGCCCTTTCTCCAGTCCAACATTTAAGGAGGAGGAGGCTAGAGGAAGAGCCGGTTTTATTACCCACAGGCATCCAGGCAAAGATCCCCATGGAGGGAGGGGGATGGGCCTGCACATCAGAGGATGCTTAGAGCCCAAGTGTCAGTACCACACAGGTGGCCATGAAAATTAGGGGCCTATATCAAATGACCTACAGGGAAAAGAAAAGGGCCCTAAGATCAAGGCCTGGGACATTTAAAGAACCAGCAGAGACAGAGCAAGCAGCAAAAGGCACCACAAAATAACAAGCTGGGAAGGAAGAAGCAAAGCTACTTCAGAAGGGGAAAGGGGTGAGCAGTGCAGACCGTTGTGCTGTGTGAGTTCGTGTCCTGGGGCACCTGCTGTGTGACAGACTCTGGGGACACCCAGACCCAGGCTCTGTCCTACAAGGGAAAGGTGTGTCAGCCTGAGAGGGCAGCTGGGTCGCAGTGGCCATCTATCTTTGATTTCCATCTGTAAGAAGAACACATGTATGTGGGCAAAAGCCAGGTGCAGTGGCACACGCCTATAATTCCAGCCCTCGGGGAGGCAGAGGCAGGTGGGTCTCTGTGAGTTGAGGCTAGAGGTCTACAAGCAAGTCCAGAACAGCCAGGGCTACACAGAGAAACCCTGTCTTGAAAGAATGTATAAATATATGTGGACAAGATGGAAACAAACGAGCCAGGCAGAAGGAACAGCTTAAGAAAAATGAGTAGAGCCAGGTGTGGTGGCCCACTTCTGTAATCCCAGCACTCGAGGAAGCAGAGGAAGGTGGATCTCTGTGAGTTCAAGGCCAGTCTGGTCTACAGAGTGAGTCAAGGACAGCCAAAGCTATACAGAGAAACCCTGTCTCAAAAAAATAAAAATAAAAACAAACAAATAAAAGAAAAAGAAGAAAGAAAGAAAGATAGATGAGTAGTAGTTAGGCAGATCCTGGTACCAGTAAGACTAGAGTCAAGGGAGGCCACCACAGCTAGAACGATGCTAACGAAGGCAATGAGTGAGAGGCTGGGCTGCACACACCACATAACCTACAGGCCCTTAGATGTCAGGATCATTTTGGGAGTTGGCAACTGAGGTAAAAAAGAGAAGCTGACTTATGAAATCCAGTCAAGCTTGAAAAGTCAGAAAGAGCAGAAATTAGGGGTTGACTGAACCCAGTGAACAGTGGAGAGCTAGGAAACCAGGGCAGAGCTGACGTAGATCTAAGAGCTGAAAACCTGTTGTGTTCTGAAATTCCTTGACTCCTTGGAAATGAAATTTGTTGGCAGGTTTTAACCCCTTCGTATGTGATGTATGTTGCAGAACGGCAATCTGAGACATAAGACGGGTAGCAGCGCCATAGAAGGTTCTCAGCATGTGAATCCCAACTACGGCAAGACCCGTAAGCCCCTTCAGGATGACTTGGACTTTGACCTGAATCCCATGCTGACTTCTGGGCAGAGCAGTGGGATGGCTCTCAACCTGGACCTGGACCTGGAGTCAGAGCTAGACCCTGAATCCGAAATAGAGTCTGAGATGCAAACCAAGCCTGAGCTGGAGTCAGAGTTTGAGACAGATGCCCAGACAGAGCTTGATATAGAGGAGGAGACGGAGCCAGAGCCAGAGCCAGATTTAGGGAGAGGGAAGAGGCCCCGGCCTAAGACCAGGACAAGGGCTTCCAGCCCCTGGCGGAACTACTTGAGTGCTTATCGCTTTGGGTCTTCAGGCTCCCAGTCTCGAGCTCCTCCTCAGACTCGTTCAGCAGAGAAGAAACAGCCACGTACTTATCCAAACTCCTAAGGCAAAGAGGACGCGTGGTAGGTGAAGTGGAAATAGATAGCAAATCCTTCCTGCCCGTAGGGCATCACTCCGCATGAGATCTAGACCGGCACCAGCCATCAGTCTGTGACCCACCTCCTGCTGACTTCCTCCTCTGGATTCTGGGGTCACATCAAGGTGCACAGTTGTCTCTGAGCTCTGTCTCCAGGCTTCCCAGCTTTGACCTTCAGCAGATTTCCAGGGAAGGCTCCCCTGCACATACTCCAGGCCTCTGGGAACTGTGTAGATTGTATCTACCTTCCCTTCTCATCTCTGTTTCCCTTTCTCCAAAGAAATGAGGCTGGAATAAAGTATGTGACTCCACTTAACATTGAGAGCTCTCCTGCTTTTCTCTGTACCCCGAAACCCTGAGGAAATGTTGGATGAGAGGGCCTCCAGAAGGCGGCCAGCAAATGGAAACCGGTTAGCACTCGGAGCTGACATGCCAGCTTTTCTCAGTCTCTGGGTGCAGCCAGGCCAGAGGTGCGCCAGGCTTGAGGGCCAGAGTGCGGAGCGCTGCACAGAGGGCACTTTCACCCTCACTCTTCCCTGTCATTCAGTGGCACCGACACAAGTGAATGGTGACATTGCTGGGCTCCATCGACAGCTGCTCTTTCTTACAGGTCTTCCAGGCCAACGTGGAGCCAGCCTTCTGGTGGGCCAGACTTAACTTAAAATGTGACGGATGGGAGAGCCAGTTCAGCGGTTTAGAGCACTGATTGCTTTTGCAGAGGACCTGGGTTTCAGTTCCCAGCACCCACAATGGGTGGCGGCTCACACGTGGGTGTAACTCCAGCCCTCCCCAATGGCACTACATGCATGTGCTGTACATACAGATGAGCAGGCACACATACACATTAAGAAAAAATAGATAAGAATTTATCACCGACAGATACAAGCTCCCCCGTGGGCTAGGAAAAGTCATTCTAGTCTTATTCAAATCCACTTAAAGTTTCCTTGTTTCTCCATTAAAACTGTCTGTTAATAAGTTAAGGCTAGAAAAGGATCACAGGCCTGTGGCCACAGATATACCAAACCTTACATTTTCCTTCCTGTTCCTTCAATGAACAGGGCTCCTCCTGCTTGGGTTCTCAGCCTTGCTTGTCAGGTGAAAGCTGCCTGAGGGTTATGGAGGTGGCTCAGGGGAGAGCTAGCACAAAGGCCTGAGTTCAGGTCCCCAGAAGCCCTGGAGGATGGGGGTGACAGGAGCGGGAAGATGGCCGCCACTCCTTAGACTAGGCCACCAGACCAGCCAAAACATGCCACGCTCCAGACTCGGGAGAGACTGTCTGAGTAGAGGACAGACAGCCGGTGCCTTCCTCTGCCCTCCATGCACTTGTACACACACATACACACACAGCCCTAGTCATGGATAACATGTGTTCTCTCCTTGCACAAGTGCTTGCTGGCACCTGGTGACACAGTGTTGATTGTCACCTTGAGAGAATCCAGGAAACATACCTCCTCTGGGGCCTTCCCAGAGAGGACCCCTGCGAGGGCAGGACCTCCCCGGAGTGGGCAGAAGCTTCCAGTGGACAACCCAGAGGCCGAGAATGTTGCCGTCTGAGCCAGCCTGTGTGCTGTCCCACCGTCCTCTGCTGCCCTCAGACTCCAGTGTCCTTGGCCTTCTAATATGGTCAGACTCTAGGAACTGCTGAGCACCGAGAGGTGTCATCTCATGGACTGAACAGTTACAGCAAGATACACAGCCACTGTTGGCCAGCCTGGCCCCTGACAGGTAAGCCAGTCTAATGTGTTCTTTGCTTGCGTGCGTGCGTGCTCTTATCAATTCTGTTCCAGAGGATCCTATCTAATACAGAGAACCTGCCCCAAAATAATCATTATGAGGAGGTGGGCTGTCTGTTGGTTTTACATCGATGCAGGTTTCCTAGAGATGCTTTTAGCTCATGGTTTTAGAGGTCAGAGTCCTGAGATTGGGCAACTCCTTTGCCCTGCTGTCTGGCGAGGGCCTGCTCACACGCCGCCACGTGAGGTGGAGTTTGTGCGGGCAGGAGAGCCACAGCTCCAGAAAGATGTCAGAGAACAGTGATGGAGGTGTTGGCTTTGTAACAGCTTATTCCTGGGAAGACTCCAGTCCCTGCTGGGGACTGGATGACCCTCTCACAGGATCACGTATCAGATAGTTACATGATTCATAACAGTAGCAAAATTACAGTTAGGTAGTTAGGAAACAAGGACATGATCTCATGCTTGTGGTCACCACAGCAGGAGTACCTGGATTAAAGGATCATGGCACCAGGAAGGTGGAGAACCTTGTTTTTGTTTGGTTTGGTTTGGGGATTTTGTTTTGTTATGTTTTTCGAGACAGGGTTTCTCTGTGTAGCCTTGGCTGTCCTGGACTCACTTTGTAAACCAGGCTGGCCTCAAACTCACAGAGATCCGCCTGCCTCTGCCTCCCAAGTGCTGGGATTACAGGCGTGTGCCAACACTGCCCGGCTGAGAAACTGATGTTTTAAAGTCCACTCTGTCTTTACATGAGGACCAAGCTTGCAACACATGAACCCCTGTCCTTCTCCCTCAGACAAGCTGGAGATTCATTCCTTTGTCACATTTTCTCCACACACTGACCCCGTCCTGTGTGCTAGGTACTGTCCCCTGGAACTGAAGATAAAGGATGAAGAGAACAGGCAACGATTACAAACTGTGATGAATGCCAGGGGAGATGGTGGCTGGGTCACAATCTCAGGGACCTGAGTTTGAATCCCAGAACCCATGTTGAAAAAAAAAAAAGCTGAGTCCGGTGGCTCACATTTGTGATCTCAGTGCTAGGAGACAGAGGTGGGAGGATTCCTGGGGACCTCTGGACTGTCTGGCCTACCTGAGAGTTCCAGGCTAATGAGAGACCCCGCCTCAAAAAGAATAAGCAAGACGTGTGCACATAGACACACATAGACGCAGACACACAGACATACAATTAAAAACCAGTATTCCATCCCACGCGCAGGTCTCTCACAGAGGCCGAGGAGAGCCACCCAGGATCCCTTCTGGCCCTGATGCACCTAGCCCCAGGCCCCTCTACAGCTCCCAGGTCTGCAGGTTTTTCCCACAATCCTTTTCTCCATCACTCCGTTAGTGAACCCAAACCGTCAGGGGGTCAGCGGAAGCTGCGCCATCCCCTCACCCTCGCCAGCCTCTCAGGTATCCCCAGTCTGCACCTGCCCTCCTGCTGTTGGTTAAGCTGTGACATCACATGTCTTCACTGATGTCCAGGTTTCCCAGGATGAACGCTTTCTCTTGAGGATATCTAGGGGAGGGACAGGGTAGCACACAGGGACAAGGCTGATGGATGCCCTGACAAGTGTCAACGAGAATGGGAGAGAGAATCGGGGAGTAGGATGGGCAGGACACACACCAGAGTGTCTGAAAAGACCCCTTCTCCCACTCCACTGGTCCACTTGTTCCCCACAGTCCCTTTCTCCCAAGACTTACAGGCAAACCAAAACAGCGACCCTTACTCAGCGACCCTATACACACGCCAAGCTCTGGACCAAACACCTTCTAGAGCTGAGCACAATGTGCACAGCGTTCCGGTGGGTTAGGGTGGCTAATCCCCAGCCTTCCTTCCAAGGAGCAAACAACCCTGAGTTCTCCCTGAGGCCTCTTAATTCTGCCATTTGATCAACTGTTTTAGTGTCTGCCACAGCCGGGGTTCAAGGTGATTCCAAAATGTAACTTTCTGGGCGGGGAAGAGGGAAGATTTGTGTCATCGAAGGGGAAGGGGAGGGTTGGGACTAAAGGCACGACCCTGTTCGCATAGGATGGGGTAGACTCTGCACAGACGCGGTGTCTGCGTATTGCCCACTGCCTGTCTGTGAGACGGGGTGACTCTCCCTTTATCCAGAGGAAGAGTCTCAGACTGGACTGTGCCCAAATGTCACCATAAGAATTCACACCCCGGTTGGCCTCCCACTCTGAAAGCCTCATCCTGTGAGGCCCTTCCCTTTGGGAGAAGATACCTTTGATAGCCCTGGACATAATTGCCTTCCTCCCTTCTTGTTCTTGCTGGCCTGGAACTCACTAAACAGCAGAGGCTGGCTGGCAGGTGGGCCCGGAATCCATCTCTCTCTTCATCCCAAGAGCTGGCTCTCCTTCCTCTCCTCCTCCTTCTATGTAACCAACAACAGGTCTTGTTGTTGGTTATTAATATTTACTATTGATTTATCTTTTAGTTAAGCAGCGGTTATTCCTAAATCTGTATACCCAAATCAGCTGTATACCCAAACCCAGCTGTATACCTAAATCACCACACAGAGACTAGGATTTATTTAATTAACCTAGGGCACAATGCTGGGCAATAGTTACTCCATTCTAAACCTCCAAGCCCACATAGCTTCCTCCCATTCATATTTCCCACATTAGACTTACTTTTAGTCATATCTTAGGTCTGGTTCATCTCCCCTGATGTTTTCCTGGTCCTCTCTTCTTGTATCTCTTCTCCCACTCACTTCTTTCTCCTCCCCTCTGGAGCAGGATGTCCCACCCTATTCTCTCCATTGCTCAGCATTGGCTGGTTGTCTTATTGACAATACAGAGAACAAATGGTGGCGTGTTTACACAAACTTGAGACAGGTGATGCTTAGAATAAAGATAAAGCAATGTCGGGATTGAAACCAGCTGGGGGGGGGGGGGTAGAGAAATCGGCCTGTGAATGAACAAGAGCAAATTGTGTACATTCCACAAGAACATTTTACCAGCAGGGTCTTTTGGCTGCATCTAAGGCTATGCACTATGCACCACATGCATGCCTGGGACCCATGGAGGCCAGGGGAGGACACTGGGTTCCCTGAGCAGAGGTGTGGGCGCCAGGAGTGAAACCCAGCTCTCCTGGAAGAGCAGTCAGCATTCTGACCTACCGAAGTATCTCTTCAACCTTAAAAAAAAAAAAAAATCAAACAAACGAAACCCCATGATTTCTGGGGATGGGACTCAACACAGAGCCTTGTGCTTGCAAGGCAAGCGTGTTCCTGACTGGACCGTCCTGCACCCCACATCAGTACCTAGATGGCTGTGGCCCCAGCGTACACAGGCAGCACACCTCCTCCTGTCTCCCCAGCGCTCACTGAAGGCCTCCTGTGTGTGAGCAAAGGCACCTGGCTGCTGCAGAGCTGTCACTCCTCGGATGGTGGGAAAGACAAGGCAGCTCAGCTCAGGAGCACAAGGCTTGGTGGCGGGGTCCGGGCTGTCTGCAAGTCCAGTGGCTTCCAGTCATGGATTCACTACACGATTCAACAAGGGCCTCTTGGAGCTGTCAGCTGGCAGGCATTATACAGACAGAGTGCTAAAAGACCGGGGGTGGGGG